ATTCTGTGTTGTTTTAGAATAAAAGCTGGCTTTTTGTTTACAATCAACACTTCAATAATCTTTTCCATTTATTACAATTACCAGGAAAACAAACACACCTGTGGGATGCTTGTTTTCCTTCAATGGGAAAGTTTCTGGGCTTTTATACCTTCCTTTCTAATTAAGTAGAGAGGGAAGGAAGAGCTCTAGAACTGAGAAATTAAGCTGGTTGAGAACTTCATGGGAGAGGCAAGCCTGGGTAAGAGAATGGTAGATCTTGAATGATCCATCTCTAGTCAACACACCCTCCTCACTACCTTTCCACCACCCACCATTTTAAGGCTATTCTTGGCACTCATTTTTACAGAGTAGGGGCAGGGCCATCCTCAAAATGTCCTAGCACAATTCTGTATGTGACAAATTGTTCTAATAAGGTACTAATTCAACAAGAACAAATCGAATTTCTGTGTGACATACCTAGGAAAGGCTCTGTTCTTCAAGCATTTCTATGCATAATAGGTAAAAAAGTGCACATATTTTGGGAGCCCATTTGAACACATGATGACAAAACTGTTTTATTTTTTTTAACTGTAAAGGCAATCTCCTCTATTAGCTGCACACTCCTTAGATTTTTTACTTCTCTGAAGGATGACCAGTCTTTTACCAAATTGGACCTTGAGGTTACTGTTTTTACCTCTCCAATGCTCATCATAGTGGTCCCACTGATCCTCTTTAACCCTGACCTAATCTACTTCCTCTTCCCTACCATCACTGACTCAACCTTGGTTTAGGCTCTCCTTATCTCTTGTTGATACAATACTAGTCTCCATGTTTCTGTATTTAACTCCCTCTCAATTCATCTTTGCATACCACCTGCTGAGTTACCTAATTTGAAACTCTGTTTAATTCTTTCATTGACTTCCAGAATAAATCCAAACTCTTAGCATAGTATGCAAGCCCCTCTGTGATATAGTCACATCTGAATCATCTAGGTTCCTCTGGGTCATCTCTTTCCATACTTTCGTTTGACCTCTCAAATTCTACTCTTACACAACATCCTCCCATCCCCTTGAAAAAGCTCCACCCTCTCAGGCCTCTAGAACTTTGTGAGTGTTGCAACTTCTGTTTAGGGGATCACTGCTCATCTCTCAGCTACTTCCTACTCATATTTTAAGAATTAAGAAAGTTACCTCAAAAGGGGGAAATTGCCTCCAACTCAAAAGATTGGATTAGAAGTCCTTGCCATGAACTTCTATAACACTCTGAGCTTTCACTCTGTCATGATACTTAATATCTGTACTATAATTTTCTCCAAATCTACCTCAAGCAACTTGAGGGTGGGATTGTATCTTTATGTCCTACTACAGTTCTTGCTAAATGTTAGGTGTTCAAAAAAATTTTTTGAAGACTTTATATATATATATATTTTAAATGTTATTGATTATACTATTACAGTTGTCCCATTTTCCCACCTTTATTCCCCTCCACCCTGCACACTACCTTCCACCTACATTCCACACCTTTAGTTCATGTCCATGGGTCATACATATAAGTTCTTCGGCTTCTACATTTCCCATACTGTTCTTAACCTCCCTGTGCTTATTTTCTACCTACCATTTATGCTACTTATTCTCTGTACCTTTTCCCCTCTTTCCTCCTCCCATTCCCCCACTGATAACCCTGCAGGTGATCTCCTTTTCTGTGATTCTGTTCCTATTCTAGTTGTTTGCTTACTTTTTTTTTTAGGTTTGGTTTTTAATAGCTGTGAGTTTGTTGTCATTTTACTGTTTGATATTTTTTATCTTCTTTTTCTTAGATAAGTCCCTTTAATATTTCATATAATAAGGGCTTGGTGATGATGAACTCCTTTAACTTGACCTTACCTGGGAAGCACTTTATCTGCCCTTCTATTATAAGATAGCTTTGCTGAATAGAGTAGTCTTGGATGTAGGTCCTTGCCTTTCATGACTTGGAATACTTCTTTTCAGCTCCTTCTTGCATGCAAAGTTTTTGAGAAATCAGCTGATAGTCTAATGGGAACTCCTTTGTAGGTAACTGTCTCCTTTTCTCTTGCTGCTTTTAAGATTCTCTCCTTACCTTTCATCTTGGCTAATGTAATTATGATGTGCCTTGGTGTGTGCTTCCTTGCGTCCAACTTTTTTGAGACTCTCTGAAATTCCTGGACTGCCTGGAAGTCTATTTCCTTTGTCATATTGGGGAAGTTCCCCTTCATTATTTGTTGAAATAAGTTTTCAATTTCTTGCTCTTCTTCTTCTGGCACCCGTATGATTCGAATGTTGGAATGTTTAAAGTTGTCCTGGAGGTTCCTAAGCCTCTCCTCTTTTTTGGATTCTTGTTTCTTCACTCTGTTGTGGGGGAATGTTTCTTTCTTCCTTCTGCTCCAAACCCTTGATTTGAGTCCTGGTTTCCTTCCCTTCACTGTTGGTTCCCTGTAGATTTTTCTTTACTTCACATAATGCAACCTTCATTGCTGCCTGGGTCTTTTTTATGCTGTTGAAGTACCCAGTGAGTACCTGGAGCATCCTGATAACTAGTGGTTTGAACTGTGCATCTGACAGGTTGGCTATCTCTTTATTGCTGTTATATTTTTCTGGAGCTTTGAATTGTTTTTTCATTGGGCTATTTTTTGTGCGAGTGTCTGGGTGCACCTGCTACATAGTAAGGGGCAAAGCCTTAGATGTTCACCAGGAGCAACCCAGGTTGCAACCCAAATGACGCTGTATGTGGGTATGGGTCTGAGAGGGAACTGTGCTGTTTGCTCTATTCACTGCCGGTTTTCAGTCCCTTCCTCAGCTACCCACAATCAAATTGGGCCTTTCTGGTGCTGATTGCTGGTTGGATGGGTTTTGTGTACATTCTAGGACCCTGTGGGTCCCTTTAACAAACTCACCTGTGAGGCTGGGAGTTTCCCCTGCTGCTGCCTCAACCCCCACAGGTGTTTTCAGTCAGAGGCTTTGAGTCTATTTCCCCACAACAGAACCCTGGGTTGTGCAATCTGTCTCACTCCCTAGTTGTTCCTCTCAGTTTATTTGCACACAAATGTGGGACAGCCCAGTTCACAAGCTGTTGCCTTCTCCACCCAGGTTCTCTAGTTGCCGCTTTCTCGGAGTCCTCTCCACCCAGCTGCCTGTCTTCACCCATCCTACCAGTGTGGGTGAGTGTTTCTTCTTTAACGTCTTGGTTTTTAGACTTCTATACAGTTTGATTTTCTGTCAGTTCTGGTTATTTTTTGTTTTTAAATCTGTCGTTGTTCTTCTTTTGGTCATGGAAGGAGGCACAGTGTGTCTACATATGCCTCCATCTTGGCCAGAAGTCCCAAAAAAGTTTTGATGCCCCTCTGAGAAAGAAACTTATTGGTCACAATGGCAACTGCTATTCATTTGCAGTTTCTCTTGTGACACCACACATTTGCTCTCCTTGCATGCCTGTCGGTATAAACTTCAAATTACCTCTATCAAGGTCCTTTCCTCCTAAGAAACTTTTGTCTCCCTATTGTCTATGACAGTAAATCCAGACATCTGGGTCTGGCTTTCAAAAGTCTAATTACCTGTTTGGACTTATTTGTTCTACTTTATTTCCAGTCCCTATTCTCCTTTATCTCTGGTCACTTCAAATATTTTGCCTTCACTTTTCCTATTGAAATCCCACTTGTCCTTTCAAGATCCTGCTCAATAATCATTTCCTCACTAAAGTCTTCTTTGGCTCTTCAAACACATATTGAATATTTAGCTTGTCACTTATCTGGGCACTTACATGTCATCTTGTTGGGATGTAACCATTTCCTGGGTAGGCCTTCTTTCCTCCACAGAATGATTTAAGTTCCTGGGGGCAAGGGGAAGTGCAGGAATCATATACATTTTGGTATCAATATAACAATAATGATTCAATTTTTAAAAAGTAATAATATATTATACCAATACAATGGAAGCCACCCAAATATAGAATTTGTCCTTTAATTTGAAAAACAGAAAGAAAAGAGGAAGATTAATAAGTAGCTTAAATTAGTCCTTTGTAAAGAAGGAGGTTAACTTGGAAGATGAATCAGATGGGCACAGGTACAAATGAGAATAATTTTACTTGTGGTTATTGAAACAATCAGCAGGTCATTGTTACACATATTTTCCTGGTCATCATATTTTCTGTAAGGACATTTAATTACCATCTTGAATATGACCATAGTAGGTTCTGTGCAGCATTGCAATGGCACCCTATAACATATTATAAGATTTGCCATGTGAATCAAAAGGAAAAAGGTATTCCAAATCTATGATCTATAAAATATTATTTAAGGGAGTAGGCTATGTTTTTCCTCAAGCACAAATTCTTTTGGGATCTAGATTAAGTGGTCTAGTACTCTTCAATCACAGTTCTCCTATGGATGGACACAGGATTCTACTCCAAGACACTTAGTTAATACACTAGTTAATGTATAGTCAAAAACTCTTATCCCATTTTAACAAAGTCTCCTAAAAAATACAAAGAACTAACTAAACAGATTATTTAATGATATGAAGGAAAAACAGAATGTTAGGCCCATAGAGACCACTGTTTTTGTACCTGGGAGCTTTTCAGTAACTTCAGGTTGCTTCACGTTCTTGGACACTACCACTGAGCCATTTTCATTTTTGAGTTTCTTATGCCATAACCAGACACTGAAAACTGTAGTTCAAGGCAAAATGGAAAATACATTAGAATCTCATTTTTAATAGTTCTGTGGCTTTGAACAATGTATTTAACTTCTCTGAGCCACAGTTTTTAAAATTATAAAATGAGGACAGTAATATGTATTCTATATGATTACAGGGAGAAATAACTAAGACAGTGTCTTGCATATAGTAGGTGTGCAACCGCTACTGTAATGTTAGCTGATTTTTTTGATGTATCACACTGACAATGAAAAGTTGTATGAGAACATTTAATATCCTTATGGAAAATACCTAGAATATTACACTAACATTCATAATTTCTGGTGACATCATAAAATCAAAAGATACAATTACTGTTGTCATTAATATGATCTTTAATAAATGGAATAATGCACCATTTACAGCAAGCCTTTTTTAAACCTAAAGAACTGTCTTAAAATCTCCTTCTTCAATGTCTCTATATCAATACAATCTTTTTGTTTAGGTTTATATATATCAAAGCATTACTTACAATTATTCATAGAAAACTCTTTAGTGGCTTAATGTCAGCTTTCATAGTGGCATCCATAGTTAATACAAAAGAAAAGTGATTTGATTTATTTTATACACTGATCCATCAAACACAACTTATACAGCATAGCAAGGTCTCAGACAGCTTATACAAAAGCAAAATAACTGAAATTATTCATAAATTCATATATGATATTTTATCTGTAATATAAGAGCAAAACACACCAACGAAAGATACCCGTTAATAAGAAAGAGGGTTCTGAGGAATTGACAATATTTTTCAGCCTTTCTTATTCCAGAAAAGCATCCTCAGAAATGAATACTCTGTAGCTTACCTCTCATGTCTATTCAGAAAAGCATGGCAGCTACACATCTCCGTGTTCAGCTACAACACCCGAAGTTAGTGTATTTTACAATTATTCACTTATCTTCATTTGAAAACTATCAACAGAAAATTAAGGATGATTCCAGCTTATACGAACACTTATACAATATAATCTCCATGACAACAAGGTATACAAAAACTGTTTAAATAAATAAATGTGACCAGAAAAAGAGAAGCCACAAAAGCCAAGCAATTCAATGTTAAACTAGGACCTATCTTTGAATTGCACCTTTTAGTAATTTAGATTTCTCTTATTGTTAAAATTCTTTAAAAATGTGTTTCCCTACCACACTTACAAGGATTTGGTAATAAGGTGGAGAGCCTGAGAGAAGAGTCTCATTACAAATAACTTTACTGCTAGGATTTTAAGTGTATACCATATCAATTTGGGAACTAAACTTACCTTTTAAAGAAAAGTGTCATTTGGATCTAACAATGGGATAAATAGGTTACCATAAGTTACCTTCTCAAAATCACCTAACCTGTTATTAAAGCCATAACTCAAAAATTCACTTTTAGAAGAGTTTTATAAAGTTAAATTACCTCCTAAGAAAACATTATCTGAGAGGAACTACCTTACTAAGTTCTTCCATTAAAAAATAAAATAAAATAAAATAATTTGTCCCATCATGTACAACCATTTGACCAAAGAGCATAAATGATTTGAGGATGGTGCTTCAATTCTAAGACCTAAATATGCTGTTACATGTAGCCAAGTAGTTGAATCGTTTCCATCTCTCTTCAGTAATTATAGAACTGGGCATGTTTTTCTGTTTAATAATATTGTGTCCATGTAAATCAACTAAAATTATAATATGAAACATTAAATGAACTGTGTGCAACCAACACTTTTAAATAGTCAACTGGATTTAATTGCTTGTTTACTACCAATTGAAGTTTTACAATGTGCAAAGGGATGAAAGGGGCCCTGAGTTTTTAAGTAATATTATGTCTTTAGAGAGAGTCTAAACAGGAAGATGTTTCTGAAATCTTAAAGTACACATAACATAAAAATAAAACATTTTACCTTTTAAAACAACAAAAAACCATGGTGTAATTTAAAAGTTATTTGCTTTAAAATTCAATCATAAACTGGACACTCTAATGATATGATTTGTTTCTAAAGATTCCTCCTCTCTTACCCAGCTTTTAAAATCTGGGTTTCAAATGAAGTTTAAGAAATGACTATCATATGTTTAATAACAACACTACAAACATCAAGTAATAACAGAATTGGAATTTTTAAGATATGATAGATTTATTTTGGGGCATAATTTTAATACACAGCATAAATTCTTCTTACATATTTACTTTCAAATGCATCAGCCATGAGATAAAATCCTAAATTTTACTTTATATTCACAAACACTCAACTTTAACCACTCACTTAAGAGTTAAATGAAAGCTGTTATGGTCTAGTCTATGTTCAAAACAATAAGTATTTCAAAAGTGGTCTGCAAAAATGTTCATAGATAATACCTGATCATTGTAGGATTTGCTTTTGAAAGTTAACTTTGTGTTTAATATTTGATACAAATAAATATGTAAAACACATGTTTTATGTGACTCAATCATAATGCTACGCTTGATGCAATATAGATTAAATGATATACAATTCTGTATACATGGCTTTTTAGTTATAACTAATTAGAATATAAAATCTAAAACTCAACAATTTAACAGAAAATGTTAGATGATACAAAAATTAAGTGATTTGCTGACAATTTGATGGCTCCATTGTCAAATGATAACATCCTAATTCTCAGTTCTATCTTATTGAACTAGTAACTGGAGTAATAAACTTGAATATAAATGAAATATAATTTTAGTGTTTTTAAATATAAAGTTATTAAAATAGGACTGAGGATAAAATGCTAAAGGAACTGAAACAATTTTTTTGTCTGAAGAACTGAGACTCAAGGACTGAGAAGCCTGAAGCATATGGAAGAATAACAATGTTGAAGAGGATAGCCTCTGGCTTTTTTTCTATTGGATAAGAGAAATGGGTATAAAATGAAAACAGGAGAGAAGCAGAATAGATAGGAAAAAAAACTTTCCTGACACAGAAGATTGTGAGTCACATATCCAAGGGATAAAATAAGTCAGACACAAACTAAGATGTGATTAAAGGAAAGTAATGTTTAGGTGCACTAGAGAACACTTTCTTCTGTTAGTTTAATCTAGCAATCTGTAAAAAGGCCTTCTTTTAATAGTAACATTTGTGTAATGAACTCAACTGTAATTTGCCAGATTTATTTAATCAGGGACTATATTTAGGAATGGTCATGCAAGGTAGTTTTGGCTAAAGTTTGCAAAGTTCAGAATCTAAAAGTTAAAATGCAATTATATCTACTGAAGAGCAAACTGACAGTAAAAGGTATGAATATTTAGGAATATCCTAGTCTGAAAAGACTTCTGGGGTATATGTGGGAATGTTACGCAATTTTTAGAGTTAACTGGTCTAGACAATCAACTAACGTTGATTGTAACTTTAGGGAGTAGCTTGAGAAAGAAAGTAATGTGTAAAGCAATCTGAATAATTAATATAATTACCTGTACTTCACTGGTAATAAGTTCAACATAAATAATTAAAAGTTGTATAGAAATATAAGGAATCTCAAATTTTAGGAACTACCTCCAATGAAATATTCATTTCCAAAAATATGAAAAAAGAAACAAAAAGTTTATTAAAATATATTTCCACTTTAAATGACTTTGAAAAGAGAGGTTTACAGAGAATGGACAATAAATAGCTTCAGCCTATCAGATATTTCATTTGGCTTTAGAAGCTAAATTTGAAAATATTTTAAACAAAAACACTTGTCAAATTTTGTGTTAATTCCCACGGAAACACATATTTGAGTGTTCCTACCTTTCTTTGTTTTCACATTCAGAACCAATGTACATTTTCTGGAACATGCAGATACATGTAAGGAAACTATACAAATTGCTTTATTAGAAGGACATTATCCTTGTATCCTTCCTACATCCTCCTCAATTTGTTTTCTGGATTAGTAAAATTTTCAAGTCACTAAAAGCAGAAATTTTCAAGATAGAGTCAAAGGATTGATGAAACTAAAAGTCCATGTTAAATTAATTCCTCCAAATCAAGTACAGAATCGATTTATGAAAAAAAATCTCTTTTCCAATAAGCCACCTTCACTTTACCCTTAACATTTACTTTACCTTAGTTATTCAATATAAGAATGTTACGAATGAAGAGAAGTGAATGATTTTAAGATCATGATGACAGATATGGGATTGAATTTTATCTTAAATTAGTAATTATTTCTCAAGCAACAAACAGCATAGATAAATCTATACACTTTCTATGGCTGCCTAACTTTTAAAGTCATTAAGGTATCTAGATTTGGCTTATATACAAGCCACAGTTGTGCTGGAGTTATGACTAGATTTCTTACAAAATGTCAGTATATTATACATCCTGTCATACAGTATGTAGCTTACATGGTATGGATGAGAGATGTGGAAAGAGGCACACCTAAGTTACAATCCATCTTTGTCTGTTACCAGATGTTGATCTAGGGCAAACTGCTTAGTTTCTCCTTGCTTCTGTTTACTCATCAGTAAAGGGGGCTATAATCCTTACATGGTTGCTATGAAGACTAAAAGATAGTGTTTGTATAACCCAACACTCAGCATACAACAAATGGTCAATTAGTGTATTTCACTCCTGCACCCTCCCAAAACATTTTTATGATATCAGGGTCCTCCCCAATTATGCATTTAAAAATGGGAAATGTTTTTAGGACGAATTAAATCATTTTTGTCTATACACAATTCAAATCAAATTTTTTCAATAGCTTAGTTGTGGTATACAAGTACAATAGTTAAGGGAATATTAGACTTTGATTATCTATTATTATGCTTTTAAGGTTGTAATACTCTCTTACAAATGAATTTAATATTTTTCTTTTATAGCCTTTTATTTGAAAGTAATCACATTTTTACACATGCAAGATACTGTGATTAGCAGTTATAAATTATTAGCTTTAAGAAACATTTATTATTAAATGGATAAAATTGGCAAGTATTTTAAGTAGTTTTGCTTGCTTGTATATTATAAACAGATTCTAAAAGTAAATCAGTCTGATGTACAATTTAAAATTTATTAAAATGATCTACACTTTCTACTACTTTTTGTAAGAGTCTACTAAAAAACTGGGGAAGGAAATTATTTATTTTAAACATTCTTGCATTAAATGGGACGCTATAAGGAGTTCTTCGAATTTGGTTTATTAACTTTTAAAAGTATTTTATTACTAAACATCAAAAAATGTTGGAAAACTTAAGATCAACTGGCCCAAACACAAAGTATAGTGGAATGAAAGATAACTCTTCCTCTGTGAGGAAAAAAAATTAGACCTCAAGTGGTCACTTACCCTCAATGCTTCTATTTGAAGAAGGACTATCATTTATTTTTATTCGAAGATGTCCTATAGACATTTGAAAATAATGTTCTGAAATACAATTAAAAGTCAAGGAAACTAAGAGAAAATTTACTGGGAAAGATATGAATAATTTGTTATGTGATACAATAGTTAACTAAATGTAAAACATTTTATGCCAGAAGACTGAACATATATTAAAGGTCTGAAACAAAATAAGGTTTAATGAAACATAAAAGGTGGAAATACTGGGCATTAACAAAAGAATCTTAGCTAAGAATTCAAAACTCTGTTCAGCAATTTAGCTGAATAAAAAGCTAAGTGCTATAATATCTAACTCAAGATCATAGTAAATGGCAAACAAAAGACGGCTTATATATAAATCCTAAGTATTTTGAACAGCAAATTTGGAAATATAGGCTGTTTTTAACTAAATGATGACAGAGGAATATGAGTAAGAAAATATTTTTCAGGGGATTTTTGTTTTTCTCTTAGCTTTTTATCCCCCGGAGAAGTCCTAGAACTTAATTAGATAATGAGTACTAAGTACTCCAAGAATGTGTAAAAAATAAGATTATCACTGTTTGCAAATTGATAGAAAATAATTTGTGCTTATAAAAAAAGTCCCTTATTTGACATAAAGTGCTTTATTAAAAAAAACATGCAGAGGTGGTTGTTTTAGAGATGATTATGAGTAATGAAGAAGCAAAAGAAGCTTTAAAAAAAGTATGATTTGAAAGATACGTTATCACTAAAAGGTATATTCCAATATAAATAATAAATGCTGCTCATATAGCAAAAATGATGTGAAAATTGGCAAAAGGAGAAATTATGAAAATAGAAGTAGTAACAAAACAGTTTTGAAAAGAGAGAGGTAAGTCTCTAGCTGCTCAAAGATGATAGGTTAGGCAGCAATCCTTCCTTTCACAGGGATTTGGCATGCCAGTTGAATGATTTTTTCCACACAGTGTTTGAGGTCATGGGAAGAGGAGAGGAATCTTTTTCAGACAGTCACAAGGCTTTGCTTGGGAAGAGGATATAAAGACACTACAGGTTCAAAACTATGGATTATTTTTGAAGTTATTTCAAACAGAAAATGTCATTTTATTTGAGTCAATGACTGCTTATTCAGAGAATAAAGAATATAACACTATATTGCCTTAACCATCTACCTACTTAAAAATTCCATATAACTATATAAGTTTTCTGATAAAAATGTGCTTCTTAAATAAATGAAAATGAAATATAACATACATATAAAAATAAAAGAAAAGAAAAAAGGTTAATATTTGACTTCTACTTTGTTCTATGCTCTCTTAAGAACCTCCAAAACCAGAACCAAGTATGTTTATTAAAATTCCTGGAAGGAAATGTTTAGGATTTGGAAGGTTAAAAGCATTTCAGATTAGGTTTGGTAGTTCCATCTTTACAGCCCTTTGAGACATTGTTTCTGCATTTTTCATAAGGAGAGAAGAAGCAAAAAATCAGGTTTCTCTTCCTCAAAATTCACTGTCATAGAGCAGACCTGATAGAAGTATGGAGGAGAAAAATGTTCATATTTTGGAAGAATGTGTACTCTATTAGAAAGAGAGCTTACAAGAAAGCTTATTTATGGCCTACAGACTATTGCACATTCAAACAAACACCAGGGAAAAGAATGTCCAACAGATAATATGTTAGGAACATATCAACATACAAAATAAACTAATTGTGCCCAGAAATAAAATATGGATACCAGACACCACTGAAGTCAAACCTGTCTTAATCTGCTTCTATTTTAATGACCTTTAGAAATTATTTCAAACTGATTATCAGTAATACATTGTTTTTGCTTTTTTTCTTAAAAAAATATTTTGAGACCACTTTTGATACACACACATATAATTCTGTGGTCATAACAGACAAATATAACTTTAGCAAGACTAAACAAAAGTGCAAAACTTAAAAAAACAAAATTAAAAAATATGGAAGCATAAGCTAAATTTTCTGCATAGCTGAAATCTATTTAAAGCAAGTCATTATTGTAGGGGTGGGAGGGGGTACTGACAGAAAGATAAAGCAGTTTAAAAAAAAAGTCTTCTGCATGTTTAAATGATGCAAAAAATAATTTTACTCCATAGGCCTGAAAACATTTCACAGACAGTTCATTCCTATATCTTTAGACACCATGGTTGTAGCAGTGCCTCCTTCTGCAAGGTAAACAGCGGTACTAGATTTGGAATGAACTGCTCTGTCACTGCCATTGTTGTTGACCTCACAGTCCAGTTGTTCAGTGGAGATAACCCAGGTGGAAGGGCGCCACCGCTTCAGAGAATAAGGAGTTTTCACACGTTTCTTGATCTTTTCACCAGATCCTGTTTTACCATCTTGTGTTGACTCACCTACTAAAAAAAAAAAATAATAAGTAAAGAAAAATGAACTAGTATATATAAAGAAACCATTAAAAAGTAAAAAAGTTAGGATTATAACTCAAGAACAGGTCAAAATAATGTCTATAGGAGATGCTAATGGACACTTCTTGAAATTGATGATGCCAGACATATTTTCCGAGGCAAAAATTAAATAACTTATTTTTGAGACTTTTAAAGCCCAATGTTTTTATAATCAGTTAAATTATTCTATAGGGCAAAGAAAAAATATTTAAAAACTACAAAAAGCAAAAACAAAGGAAAAAATCCAAAGTTCTCAGCTGTACTCTCAAATTTTTTGGTTACTGGTAACAATCCTAACTTGGCAAAATGCATTTAATCATGCAATTTAATGCGTGAAGTGAATCAAATTATAAAGGCACTTGGCATATGATATTTTATATAAGAATTACATAAATTCTAGAATACAAATTTCTAGTAATTCCATCTTCCCATACCTGACAAGACATTTTACTGATCTGGAGCCCTGCGATAGGTGAAGTGGTCTATAATACAAACCACTCAAGCAAGAGGCTAGATTCTATTGCTCAGTTTTTGAAAGCTGAATAATTCCTTTCAGCCCATTTTGTAGTCTTTGACAACAACCACAAAACATGGCTTTGTTTTTCCCTGTAAGTGCTATCTGTCTAAAAAACAAATTATTTTGTGTAATGATGACTGTTACAGATTCTGGTGAGCTCTCCAAGTATCCCTTTAGGGCCAGAAACCAAGTATCATGTTATTTGTTTAAGTTGTTAGGGTTCCCATAGCACAAGTGCTATAGTCACATGAGAGACTCAACATATAACTCTTGGGAAAAAAATAACAATAAAAAACCAACAGCAATTTTATAGTGACTTCTCTGAATTTTCTCTGGACTTTCAAGATTTATTAAGTCTGATAAAATCTAAATGTGTATATAATAGATATTAATATACTCAACAAACTTTCAAAAATTATACTGACATTTTACTTGGAGGTTATAATCGTTGAGTATTTATTTATCTTAACCATTCATAGCAAATATGAGTTGCATTACAAATCAGCAGCTACATAAAAAGCACATATTACATTGGTACTTTTTCTACTGTGATACTTTTTAATTATCAACAACAAAAAAAAATACTTTTTTCTTTACAGTAATCTAATTACTTTTGAGGCCCAGCCAAATGGCTTATTTATTTCTAAAAGTGGTAAAAATAAAAAATCGCTAGTTGAAACACAATCTGATTCTAAGTAGTTACTTAAAATGGCCCCAAAAGACAAGCAGGAGAGATTACATGACCCTGTCCACTTACATTGCAAACCACTGTCATCAAGGACATTTGTGGCTGAAAGATCCAAAGAATTAGGCCTCTGTGCTCTTCTGGGTTTTGATGGTCCAGGATCTGCTACTGTGCTTGGAACACCCTGTGCAAGAACATCTTGCTCTAAACATGGATTACTGTTGTTGTTATTAGAATTAGTTCGGCCACCTTCCAGTGGACGTTCCCTCCTGTCCACAAGACGATCCAGAACACCTTCATCATGGCCAGCCTGTTGCTCTCGCCTCAATAAAGGTTCATGCTCATCAGGACTGGAGTTAATATTCAACCTGGTATCCTCACCAATAAATTGATTCTGCAGCATTTCTTGGGCCCTAAGTGCCACTGTGTTGGCAGTCTGGCCAGATGGTACTGCCCCATTGGCATACTGAGCAGTGGCAGCATGGGAGTTAACACTGTGGTTTCTACCTGCCACACCATTCATGGTGACTGTAACCACATGAGGTTCTACAGCATTAATTGTATTCATCTTAGCAACTCCAGTTTCTACTTGCTTCAAATTGGATTTGTGCTTGCTGCCAAATTTCAGACGGGGCTCCTTTGTTGAATTTTTGGTGTTTAAAGGCAAACTAGTAGGTCTCTTAGGAAGGTTCTGTTGCTTGGGGAGAGGATAGAGCTGAGCAGGTGGGACATCAGGAATTAAACATGCTTGGCCATTGGCAGCCTGTGTGAAGTCCTGTTGTCCAGTCACTTCTACTGCAAGCTTTATTAGTGGGTAAAGCAAGCTAGAACTAGTACTGCTCAGTGGGTCTGGCCCACTGAACTGTTTAAGAGAATGCTCCATAAGATTCTCATCAGAACTTTCCTTGAGGTTCTTATCAACTTCTTTTGGGTCTAGCTTATTGGTCTCTAAGTCTTCTTCTGTCAGCTGTAAGCAGACAGGGGTTGGCTGTGAAATATTTGTGGCATGAAGATTTGTTTCATCTGGGTATGGCATCTCAGATATAGTGGTCATGCCAGTGCTTGGAGTGAGGCCAGTAGTGTTTGTGGTGGTTGTGTTGGTGGACAGGCTGGTGACACTTGTTTCAGGGCTGGGGATTCGAGCTTGTGCTTGCTGTCGTTCATAGTTAATTGAATTTCGGTTCTTTTCCCCTGTAGTCAAAGGTGTGCTGGACATTGAATGCTCAGAGGAAATATTCTTCACAATGCTGTCAGTGTGATGGATGGAGTCTTCAATGTATGAGGAAGAAGAATAATCTGGATAAGGGCCAATCTTTGGCACACGCCTATTATGTGAAAGGTTGCTTAAAGAAAGAAAAAAAATGACATATTGACAATGTACATTTATGACAAACTGACTCTCCAAGTTTAACATCTCTGATTTTAAAGTAAACTGCTTTTTATTTTATTTTATTCCTAATCCACATCATTGTAGAAGTTACTTAAAAATTTTAATAAAATAATCATGTCAATTAATAATTTACTAAATGCTAATTTTATATGATTTAAGCCTACTGAAAAATCTATGCAGATCTAGATGTAATTTTTATAGTTATTCATTATTTTGTTTTACAGAAGTTACTTAAAAATCTCTCCTATAGTTTTGCAATATTACCAAATATATTTTTATCAATTGTATACTTGTACAACCAGACATAAAGTTTCATGACAGGAAGAACCATGGCATATATTTCTTTTGTATGCTCATTATTCTAGATACATAGTGCTACTGAACAAGTATGTTACAGATTAAGTTTCAGTGGCCAAATGGTAACAACTAACAGGTTGTTCCAAAGTGCTTCCATGAAAAGGCACAGTCTATCAATGGAATGTATTTTCCTGGGTAGACTGAGCCATATCAGTGAAAGTCCTAGAGCCCAGAGCATAATCCGGATTGTAACACTCAGATAAAGGATCAAAGATTCAGAAATGTTCTCCAGTTATCAAGGGCTCTTCACAGTCATTGGCACAATTGGCACAACTTGAGAGTGATGGTTTTTGAGCATCACACTGTAATATATTTGTTATTAAAAATAAAAACCAGGGTTAGCTTTAACAATCAAAGTATAAACACTAGGAATATTAATAGATGCAAGTGTTGTAGGAGAAAAGTAGCAGCTAAAGAAGAGAAAGTGCTACAAAGAAAGATTGATGAAGTTATGAGAGGAATGACAAGAAGGGGAAGGAAGAAGTAAAAAACTGATATATTGCATAAGAAAAGGAAGTTCAGGAGGTATGGAGGATAAGAGTCAATACGATGAAACCCCGAGTGGAATGACTGGCATGAACTATGATTTAGGGGAAACTACTTAGAAGTGGCAGATCATTAGACGAAGCATGTAAGAGACAGAGATTAATGACACAGAAGGCACAGGGGGAGTACCAGGGTTTCTTTTTACTATTTAACAAAAGTTCAAAAACACTTAAAGAGCTGACTCTTGAGAGAGGTACAAATAGCATACTAGAACATACAGATAATACAACGATAAGGTGCGAAGAAAGCAGAAAGCAGAAGACTATCCTTAGGTAAATGTAAAGTGAGAAAATGTATGTTTAAATTGCTACTTTCTACCTTCCTTGATTTGCTAATATAGAAAGCATAAAACTTTATATACTGAAGGTAATTTAACCTACACATAGGTAGTGTAAACCCAATTTTAGACTTATACTTCATAATACAAATTATTCTTAGAAAGCAGAACAATAGAAAACAGCACAGAAAATGACTCAAGAATCAAGTGTATTTTTATCTCAATTTTTTCTACTAACTTTCTCCTTAATAACTTTCTGAAAAAATTTAACTTGTATTAGATAAAATGACTAACTTGTGGGAACACTTTTTCTCTAATCATGAAAAAAAGAAACAGGCGACACCAGTCTGAAAGTTCTAAGTTTTAGGAATTTTTTTAAAAAGTCCATGCACCCAATATAGGAGCACCCAAATATATAAAGAAGATCTTAGAGGACTTCAAGGAAGATATTGACAGCAACACAATTATAGTATGGGATTTTAACACCCCACTATCAAAAATGGACAGATCTTCCAAACAAAATATCAACAAAGATATTGCGGCATTAAACAACACCCTAGATGAAATGGACTTAACTGATATATATAGAGCCCTTCATCCCAAAGAAGCTAAATATACATTCTTTTCAAACACACGTGGAACATTTTCAAAGATAGACCACATGATAGGACACAAAACGAGCCTCAAAAAGTTCAAGAAAATTCAAATCATCCCAAGCATTTTCTCTGACTATAAGGGACTGAAACGAGAAACCAACCCCAAAGGAAAAAACCCAAAACACTCAAAATTATGGAGATTGAATGAAACAAATGGGTCAAGAATGAAATTAGGGAAGAAATCAAAAAGTTTCTGGAAACAAATGAAAATGAACTCACGACAACCCAAAACTTATGGGACACAGTGAAGGCAGTCCTGAGAGCGAAGATCACAGCAATAAAGGCCTATCTAAAAGAGATAGAAACATTTCAAACAAACAACCTAACCCTACGCCTACAAGAACTCGAGGAACAACAACAAACACATCCCAGAGCAAGTAGAGGAAGGAAATAACCAAGATCAGAGCAGAATTAAATGACATAGAGTCTAAAAGCACAATTCTAAGGATCGATAAATCGAGGAGCTGGTTTTTTAAAAAGGTAAATAAAACTGACAAGCCTCTAAGTAGGTTCATCAAGAAGAGAGAGGACCCAAATAAACACAATAAAAAATGAAAGAGGAGAGACTACAACTGACACCACAGAAATACAAAGGATTGTAAGAAATTACTATGAAGAACTGTATGCCAAGAAATTTGAAAACCTAGGTGAAATGGACACATTTCTAGAAAAATATAATCTTCCAAAACTCAATGAAGAAGAAGCAGAAAGCCTGGACAGACCAATAACAGCAGATGAAATTGAAGCAGTAATCAAAAAATTCCCATCACACAAAAGCCCTGGACCAGATTGGTTTCACAGGAGAATTCTACAAAGCATTTAAGGAAGAGCTAACCCCTATCCTTCACAGACTATTCTTAAAAATCCAAAATGATGGAAGACTCCCAAACTCTTTTTATGAAGCCAGCATCACCCCAATCCCAAAACCAGATAAAGACACAACAAAGAAAGAAAACTTCAGGCCAATATCGCTGGAGAACATAGACGCTAAAATCCTCAACAAAATATCGGCGAATCACATCCAACAATACATTAAAAAGATCATACACCATGACCAAGTGGGATTCATCCTAGGGATGCAAGGATGGTTCAATATTCACAAATCAGTAAATGTAATACATCACATAAACAAAAGCAAAGACAAAAATCACATGATCATATCAATAGATACAGAAAAAGCATTTGATAAGGTACAGCACCCATTTACGGTAAAAACACTCAGCAAAGTGGGAATAGAGGGAGCATTCCTCAATATAATAAAGGCCATATATGAAAGACCTGCAACCACATCATACTCAATGGGCAAAAACTAAAAGCTTTCCCACTAAGATCAGGAACAAGACAATGTTTTCCACTTTCATCACTACTATTCAATCTAGTATTGAAAGTTTTTGCTACAGCGATCAGACAAGAAAAGGAAATAAAAGACATCCAAATTGGAAAGGAGGAAACAAAACTGTCATTGTTTGCAGATGACATGATAGTGTACATGGAAAATCCTATAGGCTCTACCCAAAAACTGCTCGACCTAATAAATGAATTTGGCAAAACAGTGGGATACAAAGTCAATATCCAGAGAAATCAAAGGCATTTTTGTATACTAAGAATGAAACAGCAGAAGCAGAAATCAAGAAAAAAATCCCATTCATTACAGCAAAAAGAAAAATAAGATATCTGGGAATAAACCTAACAAAGGAGGTAAAAGACCTATATACAGAAAACTACACAACACTGAAGAAAGAAATCAAGGAGGACACAAACAAATGGAAACATATACTGTGTTCATAGATTGGAAGAAATAACATCATCAAAATATCCATTCTACCCAAAGCAACTTACAGATTCAATGCAATACCTACTAAAGTACCAATGGCTTATTTCACAGACATAGAACAAATACTTCAAAAATTTATATGTAACCATAAACAACCCCGAATAGCAGCTGCAATTTTGAGAAAGAACAAAGTAGGAGGGATCATAATACCTGATACCAAAGTGTACTACAAGGCCACTGTAATCAAAACAGCCTGGTACTGGCATAAGAACAGGCACATGGAACAGAACAGAGAGCCCAGAAATAAACCCAAGTCTCTATGATCAATTAATATTTGACAAAGGGAGAAGCAGCATAAAATGGAGCAAAGATAGCCTCTTCAAAAATGATGTTGGGAGAACTGGACAGTTGCATGCAAAAAAATGAAACTCGAGCACCAACTTATACCATATGCAAAAATAAATTCGAGGTGGATAAAAGGTTTAAATGTAAGTTGTGACACCATAAAAGTCCTAGAGGAGAACGTAGGCAGGAAAATCTCGAATATTCCATGCAGTAATATTTTCACTGATATGTCCCCTAGAGCAAGGGACGTAAAGGAAAAAATAAACAAATGGGATCTCATCAAAACAAAAAGCTTCTGCACAGCTAAAAAAACAGCATTAAAAGGAAAAGAGAACCAATCCTATGGGAAAACATATTTGCCAATGATACCTCAGACAAAGGTTTGATCTCCAAAATATATAAAGAACTCACATGACTCCACTCTAAGAAGACAAGCAACCCAATTAAAAAATGGGCAAAGGACTTGAACAGATACTCATCCAAGGAGGACATACAGAGTGTCCAGAGACATATGAAAGGATGCTCAGTATCACTAGCCATCAGAGAGATGCAACCTAAAACCACAATGAGATACCACTTCACACCTTTGAGAATGGCCATCATAAACAAAGCAACAAACAATGTTGGAGAGATTGTGGGGGAAAGGGGACCCTAGTTCACTGTTGGTGGGATTGCAGACTGATACAACCATTATGGAAAACAGTATGGAATTTTCTAGGAAAACTAAAAATAATATGCCTTTTGACCCAGCAATTCCACTGCTAGGAGTACATCCTAAGAACCCTGAAACACCAATCCAAAAGAACCCATGCACCCCAATGTTCATAGCAGCACAATGTACAATAGCCAAGAGTTAGAAGCAATCTAGGTGCCCATCAGTAAATAAATGGTTCCAAAAACTATGGAACCATTTACACAATGGAATTGTGTAAATTTACATTTACACATTTACATTTACACAATGGAATTCTATGCAGTAGAAAGAAAGAAGGAGCTACTACCCTTTGCAACAGCATGGATGAACTGGAAAGCATTATGCTGAGTGAAATAAGCCAGGCAGTGAAGACAAATACTATATGATCTCCCCTTTAACAGGAACCTTAAGAAGAAAACAAGCAAACAAGCAAAATATAGCCAAAGACACTGAAAGAGAGAACAGGTTGACAGGGACCAGAAGGGAGAGGAGAGGGAATTTCAGGGGAAAAAGGGAAGGATCCACAGGAACAAGTTATAAAGGACACATGGACGAAAACTAACAGGGGTGGAAATGGGAGGAAGGTAGGGAGCACTGGGGGGATAGGCTGGGATGGGAGTAAAAGACAGAAAACTGTACTTGAACAATAATTAAATTAAAAAAAAAACTATGATACATTTACACAATGGAATTCTATGCAACAGAAAGAAAGGAGGAGTTCCTACCCTTTGCAGCAGCAGGGATGGAACTGGAAAGCATATATGCTAAGTGAAATAAGCCAGGCAGTGAAAGACAAATGCCATATGATCTCACCTTTAACAGGAACTTAATCAACAAAATGAATAAGGACACAAAATACAACCAAAGACATTGAAGTTGAGAACTGGCTCACAGTGACCGGGGGGAGAGGGGAGGGGATCAGGGGAGAAAGGGGTGAGGGGTTTGCAGGAGCTGTTATGAAGGACACATGGACAATAACAGGGGTTTGGAGAAGGGGGTGGCATGTGGGGAGGCCTGGGATGATGGGAAGAGGTAGGGGGAAAAAGCAGAAAACTGTATTTTAACAATAAAAAAATGTTTAAAAAAAAAGTCCTCTTAACCCTGACCAGCGTGGCTCAGTTGGGTGGGCATGTTTCTGCTAAGTAAAAGGTCACTGGTTTGATTCCCGGTCAGGGCACAAGCCTGGGTTACAGGTTTGGTCACTCCCCCTCTCTCTAAAAATAAATAAAATATTTTAAAAAACAAGTCCTTTTATTTAGTACCAAAATTCATAGTTCTAACAAAAAAGTCTCATAAAATAATGCTCCTTATGGGATGGAAAGATCTTATGAATTGCTCTCATGTAAAAGCAGTAGTAGTATATTCTCTAGGAAAGAGTATTTGATAAGAAGTCTAGAAACAAGAGTCTCCAGTGAAACAGGTTAGATACATAGGCAAGGTAATAGTTCCATTTCCTTTAAACAAACAAACAAACAAAATAGCAAAGGAAGGAGGAATAATAACAACAAAGGATAAATATGACAATATATATAGAGAGAGTGCTTATATACATTGTAACTTTGAAAACCTTTATTACTGTAGGGAAGTTGGAGCATTAAAAGAGAAAAACTAACCTCTTTCACTATACCTTTAGATATTAAAACTCCACAGATTCCATTTTGCATTTATATCAAACGAAAATCTTCAGTAACAGAACAGGAATATTGAAAGAAAAAGTACAACTTTAGATTGGATGAGTTCATCACTGCATTACTGGCCTGGTTTAAGAGAATTTAATTCTTGTTCTCTATTTCACCTCAGTTTCTCAGTACTGACTAATGGATACCAAATCCCCTTGGTTCTTACCGCTCATTCTGCATAGCAGTAGACATTGGATTGACTGTTGGGCTCACTGATTTGTTTCTTTCCCATATCATCATAAGTTCGGCCATCCTCTCCTCAGCACACTGTGCAGTAAGCCGAGCCTCTGCATCCTGGTCCCAACAGTCTTCTATTGTCTCCTTGAGTGATCTCACTGCCTGTAATAAAGCGCATGTCAAACACTGTATCTTAAAAGAGAGAAAGTATCGAGTTTCTTAGTGACACGAGGTAGAAGAAATATCAATTTTCTTTAACAAATATTTTACATAGCTCTGATAAAATCTTTTTGACTTCAGAGATTTGTAAAGGGTCACATTTCTCAAATAGTAAGTAGCAAGGAAGGAAGGAAGCTTCAATCGAACTCCTCACCTGAGAACATGTTTCCATTGATTTTTTACAAAGGGAGGGAGGGAGACAGAAAGAGAGAGAGAGAGACATACATATGATTTGAACACACCCCCGTTGGGAATCAATCTGCAACCAGGAATTGAATAGGCAACCTTCTGGTGCACAGAATAATGCTCCAACCTAGCCACATGGCCAAGGCTGTTATTAAGGCAAATACTGAGGTAAAATTGGATAAGTACTTTGACAGGGAACTCTATATTGGAAACATATAAATGATATTGAACATTTGGGTAAACAAGATTAAGGGGGTATCATTAACACTGATGAAGAAAGGCAAAAAAAAAAAGAAAACAAGAAACTTTAAAAATCTGTTCTACCTAATGACAGAAAAATGCAAGTTGGGATTCATGGGTGGGTCACAAAATCAGATTACTGGGTCGGGACAAGATTTAAAATAAATGACTACTGAATCCCCAAACTAAAACACTCTAGACTAGAAAACAGAAAATACCAGGATATAGAGTAGATAGTAAGATTAGCTTCTATCTATCTTACTATCTTACTCTTACTATTGTAAGATTAGCTTACAATACCATGTCACATCATGTCATGATGTGAACATGTATACAGTCGTCCCACGCTATATTGCAGTTCACTTACTGCGGGTTCCCACAATACTTCATTAGTGAGTACCCATATAGAATTTTGTATGTTGTTAAAATTACGTAGGTTTAAGAGTGTAGAAAGTGTTCAAGAGCATATGAAGTGTTAATAAGAGAATGGGAAAGGTTTACAGGAGTGTGGGAAGGGTTTATAAAGCCTTAAAATATATATAAATAATAAAATAAATATAATGCTGATACTTTGTGGACTTTCACCTATCACGGGGGTCTCTGGAATGTAAATCCCGTGAAAGGTGAGGGATCACTGTATTTCTTAATGTGTGAGAAAAAAATTCTGAATTCTAGATCACATCAAAAATTTGCAGATTTTGTTGAGAGAAAATGGAAAAACTGAAATAAATATGAAAGAAGAACTGGTAGTTTCTGGAATATACAGTATATTTCAGAAGACTGGGTTTAATGGATAGAGAAAGAAAAAGACTAGAGTAAAAAAACCAACTGTGCAAGAGTTCCAAACTTTTGTGCAACAATATATTAAAACTGTTGCACAAAAGAGGTTATGCAGAACTAAGGTTAAGGGATAAAGAGAAACTGGACAAGTGATTTTAGAAAGGGAAAGAGAACAAGCCAGTATTCAAGACAGATTAAGAAAGGATAAGAATTTGGAAAAAAGGTGAAAAATATGAAAAATGGTGATGTAGTTGAAGAAACTATACCTGAATGTTTTACATATGAGAAAAAAACTATTTAAAAAAACTAGGGCCTATAATTTTTTGTTGTTCTAATTTAAAGTATTTTAACACTAAAAAAGCCTTAAACTGTACGTGTGATTGTTACAACAGTACACTTTTACTATAAATTCTTAAAGTATACAAAAAGTTTTTCATAAACCCAACATTCAAAGGTAACTATGGTTAACATTTTCATATAGTTTTCTCAGAAAGTATTTTCTATACTTTCATTTTCATCAGAAAACTATTCTTTCCCCATTTACTGACTGATCTATGCTTTTAAACTAGTTTTTTAAAAAAATATTTTCTTTATTTATTTTTTGAGAGAGGGGAAGGGAAGGAGAAAGAGTGGGAGAGAAATATCAATGTGTGGTTGCCTCTCATGCGTCCCCTGCCGGGAACTGACCTGCAACCCAGGCATGTGCCCTGACTGGGAATCGAACCGCGATACTCTGGTTCACAGGCCCGCGCTCAATCCACTGAGCTACGCCAGCCAGGGCTAAACTAGTTTTTTACATTCAATAATATTTGGAAGATTCTGAGTTTTGTTACTATAAATGTATTTTTTTATTTCAATGACACTATTTAGCAAAAGTGTCTTAGGCACAGGGGAATTTCTCTCTTTTTATAAACTATGCACTCGCTCTCTGACTCTAGTATTGGACTGTCACTATGGACTGTCCTATGTATGGATACATACATAGGACAGATAAGCTGTGCTATGTATATATCCATACATAGCACAGCTTATCTGTCCTATGTATGGACTGCATCACATTAAAGCTAAATGGATTCGTTCTAAGTGAACCAAGCATTATTTTATCCCTTACTTAGTAACCTAGTCTAAATCTGGAGTAAATAGTTTTCAAGTAAAGATGCATATGATGCATATCCCACAATGGTAAGGTTGACAAGAGAGACTTCAAAATGATGAGTTCAATTTATCTGGTGAAATAAATAGTTTAAGGAAGATGAGTTGTATTTTACTAGATAAAATTTCAAAAAGAGATTTTTTTTTTTTGCTTGAATGCTGCACTGTGAGCCTGGCACATCTAATGAATCCTCATAAAGGATTCAGCCTCTCACCTGCTGCTAGGGACCTCTTAAAGATCACCCTACTTCCCATAGCAGGGACTGCAGTTTGGGGGCAATATTGAGAATATGTGCTTGGCAACAGGTCTTCAACTGCCTCATACTTGAAGCAGATTTCAATTGCATTTGAAGTAGAAGCCTTCCTTGAAGGTAATATACTGACTGACAAAGATGACCAATGGAGAAAATAGTCAATCTAAATACATCTGTATGGAAATATAGAATATCTCTTTAACCTCTCTCTGGCATGCCACCACTCCACATAAGTCATGATACAGAATGAAAATATTCTAATCCTACCAAGACAACCTAAAATTAAAATGTGAAAATCTAGAGTATAAAGATTTAAGTTGCTTAATGAAATTTTCCTCATTCTTGTTAACTATAAATCAAGAAAATTGTATAAAGTTTCAAAAATTCAACTTTACACCCTTAGAGTTAATCAAATTCCTATTACAGTCTTAAAACAAGAACTAATTGCTCTGGGAGGGTAGAGGGATGGAGCGAAAAAGACAAAGAACTCATGGATACAGATGACAATGTGGTGACTGGAAAAGGAAGTGGGTAGAGGTGGAAAAGGATATAGGGGGATAAATAGCAATGGAAAAAATACAATAAAAATAAACAAAAAGTAAAAATAAAAATCTAAAAAGAAAAGATTCCTCTGGAAAAAGCAATCAATAAAAAATTCTAGAAATTATTAGTATGACTATGGAAATCAAAATTTTAGTGAACAGATAACAAATAGAATGATAAAGGTGAAACTAAATGAGTAATTTGAAAGGTAAAGCTAAGTAAATCTTAAACAATGTACAACAAAATACTGAAAAATACAAGAAAAAAAACCTGAGACCTGAAGTGTCAGGTGGTCCAATAGTTGTCTAATGGAAATTTGAGAAGAAAGAAATACAAGAGAGGAAATAATTTTTAAAATAAAATATAATAGAACAACTATAAAGTCCTTTATAGTTGGACAATAACAAGGGGGGTAGAAATGAGCAAGAGGTGGGGAAGGCTGGGGTGGTGGAGAGGGGTGAGAGGAAAAGGCAGAAAATAGTGCTTGAACAACAATAAAAATAAAAAGTACTCAAAATAAAATACAATAAATAAAATAAAACATAATAAAATAAAATGATACAAGAAAATTCCTCTGAAATGAAGAAACTTCTGAATTTTCAAACTGAAAACCTGTCTAGTACAAAGCAAAAGGTGTGAAAAGATCCATGCCTACATACAATCAGGTGGAATTTCACAATTCCAACGATAGAGTAAAATGCTTAAAAGCTTACGGAGAAATGAAAACAAGATAATAAAACAAAAAGCAACAGAATGAAAACTGGTTGGGCCTGGAATTCTCAATAACAATTGGAATGCTAGATCACAATTGAGTAGTGGCTGCGAAGTTGTGAGAAAAATTTTTTTGATCTTGAAAAGATTACCTAGCCAAATTATTACTTACATGCGAGGGCAAGTTAGAAACATTTTTGAACATGCAAGGATTCATAATATTTACTACCCATGCACATATCTAACGTACATTACTTAAAGAGGAACTACCTCAAAGAAAAAGTGATTTACAAGAAAGGGAACGACATGAAATTTTTTTAAATGTTGCTTCTTAGTAGAACTTCTAAGGAAAAAAAGAAAAAAAAAGATGATAAAGAAAAATCAAAGAGTATCCAGTGAATGGTGACTTTTGAAACACTTTTCCTTAAGAAGCAGGGGTTTACACTAACTAACATAGTATTTCTATTTCCTTTTCTATGAGTCTAAGCACAATACTGTGTTCTGCAGTGCATGTTTACATAATCATAATCCTGCAAAATTCTAATGTTTTATTTTATTTAAATTTTAAAATCTGTAGACAAATAAAAAATTTATTTAATAAACAGATATATTACAAAATGAGGAAAGAGTAAGTGAAAGATAAGAAGTAAGAATAGATAAGCACTTTAAGTTATAAAGGTAACTTCTAGAAGAGAAAATTAAATACGCAACAAAAACTGCAGAACAATGTTAACAGGAGTTATTTATAAAGAGTGGTGGTAGAGGCAGGTAGTCTTTTCCAGTTCCTTTTTTATGATCTTCTATTTAATTGGGTTTTGTTTATAATACATAGGTATAACTTTAATTCTTTTAAAAAACTGTTTAAAGTATGAAATACAGGGTACTGCCATCAATAAGGGGTAATTATACAATGGAATAGTGACTAAATAGAGAGAAAGAGAAACATTTATATGTATACATATGAAAAATTGTCCATAATAAAAAAATAAAGCTTCACAAATGACAGTAGATAATGAGATAATCCTAGTTTTGTAAAAAAAAAAAAAAACCAATTTATATGAGATATACTGTCCTGGCTGGATAGCTCGGTTGTAGTGCATCATCTTGACATGCCAAGATTGCAGGTTCCATCCCTGGTCAAGGCACATTCAAGAATCAACCAATAAATGTATAAATGAATGGAACAACAAATCAATGTCTAACTGTTTCTCTCTCTCTCTCTCTAAAATCAACCAATAAATAAAAATCATATATGAGTGTGGGTATGTGTGTATGTAAATATTTATAAGATGTTTTTAGTGTTGTAGCAACAATTTAGTGAAATGATGGGTGCCTTTGAAGATATTTCAGTGTTGTGAATTGCATTTTTAACATTCAGATTTTATAGGTTATACCTCGTTTTCTTTTTGGTGTAGCTTAAATTTCTAATAGACACTGGATATGTAAGTCTTCACGAGTTAACATTTTTGGTACCACACTCAAGAGAGTATGATAGAATTTCAATAACCTTTAAAATATTAACTTGTTAATTATTCCACTTTTTATCTAATCTGACAAACTTCACACATAATAATTAGTTCACACAATTTTATACTTGGAAAAACCTGAAATTGAAAAGTGGGGCTTTTTCAATTGAAAACCTTAAAAAGGGGGACTTTTTTTATACTGAAAAATTTTAAAACTAAAATCAAGTAATTGAATTTATACATTAGACAACTCTAAAAACTATTAATATTATTAATAGTACTTTTGCTTCAAATAACACTAAAACACACTCAATCATAAGTTGTCTTTTTAATAATTTAGTTTCTTCTTACCAGGCTGTTTTCTTTCCAAGCTTCTGGGAACTTAGGTCTCTGTTTTTCCCTAGACACCAGAACCTGCATATCTTCAAATGTGGGATGGTTTCCAACTTCTGTCTGAAAAGCCATCTGGTATTCTGGTACAGATTCACCTGTAAATTTTTTTTTAAAGGATGAGGTAAAATTTCCAATTATTATAAAATGATAGAATAATGGGAGTATTTCTGATACTACCCAAGGAAAGAAACTGTTTCACAATCTTTTTTTTAACCCTTTAACATAGGCATATTTAGAAATCCTAAAGAGACCCCTTTATGGGTATAATGCATTAGTAATAGATGTTTTACTTAGAATAGTCTTTGTTTGATAAATTATTTTTTGACAAATTAAATAGTTTTAATGATGAAAAGCTATTTTTATGTGGTTTCCAGCATTACTAAATTTGAAGGGAAAATATTTTATACATATAGTCTGTCCAGACAAATTCCAGCCATTTTTTTATTAAGTATATTTTATTGATTATGCTGTTACAGTTGTCCCAATTTTTTCCCTTCCCCCCTCTACCCAGTACCTACCTTCCCTCCAGCAATGCCCTACCCTTAGCTCATGTCCATGGGTCAGGCATGTTAAAAGTTATTTGGCTTGTCCCTTTCCTATACTATTCTTAACATCCCCCTATTTATTTTGTTCCTACCAATTATGCTTCTTGATCCCTGAACCACTGCCCTGTTTTTCCCCCTTCCCCCTCCCAGCTGATAGCCCTCCAAATGATCCCCATACCTATGATTCTGTTCCTGATCTGGTTGTTTGCTTAGTCTGTTTTTGCTTTTGTTTTTATTTTTCCAATTCAGTTGTTGATAGCTGTGAGTTTGTTGTCATTTTACTTATTTATTTATTTAGCAACAAAATTTTATGGTTAGGGAAAATAACAAAGGTTACGGTGAGCTCCAAGTTATACACTTAGCATCTAACTTTTGATGAGACAGATGGACCTCTTCATGGCATCAGAAGATTTAAAGGGATGTCTGCTGACATCAAAGGTGACTCTTGAGAGTGACTGCTATGGTTTGCTCCCAAATGAATACCTTGTTTCGCAGGCCAGCAGTCAATCCACTGAACCACTACCCAGGGCTAGAATTTCTTTTTATGACACTGCAGTTTTCCTTCAAGATGTGTGTTTGGTTGGTTGGTTTCATTGTCAAGCATCAATACTGTACTACCTGTCACTTTCCAGTCTTCACTGGGCCGCCATGAGACCACTGGAAAGTACAGCATTATCCACACAGTGCTGGGTCTGCTCCTTCACCACAGAGTAGAGCTATGGGTGCTCCAAGGCCTTTTTGGCAGTCAGTATCTGTCAGTGGCTGTATCTCAAAAGTTTGTCCAGAAGATCTAGGGCCTTGGGGCTGATAAGATACCTGTTCTCACTATAGATAAAATTCTTCCAGCGTTTCTGTGAATGTTGTCCCAGGATATTCATTGGAAGTGCAGATCTAGGTCTAGGTGATACTTCTTCAGTTACCCATACAGCTCATCTGTACCCAGAACCTTTGCAATGTGAACAAGCTGGTTGTAGTTGTCCTGTCAAAGAGGGATCCCTTTTGAAAGATCATGCTCGCTAACATACAGACCAAACTCCACACGTCCAAGCTACAATCATACACCTGGTAGTCCACAAGGAGCTTGGTCCCTTGAAGTACCTGGAGGCCACAAGAACACTGTACTCTTGAGCAGGATAGGTGAACTCTGAAAGACCCCAAACGCAGCTTTTTCTGTTGGTGATCTATCATGACATTCTGAGGTTTCACATCCCTGTGCATGATTCCCTTGCTATGGCAGTAATCTAGAGCTTTAAATAATCTGTACATACAAAATCGAATATCAAAGTCCATCAGGATCTGGTCAAGTTGCTTAAAATCTGAATTATTGATATATTCAAATACCAAAGCTATTATCTTTGACACAGTTTCCTTCACAGTGTCAATCAGTTTAATGATATTTGTTCCAGCATAAAGGTTCTACAGAACCTTAACCTCTAGTTTTATTTTCTTTTTCTTCACTGGCTTGAGAATTTTTACAACCACTCTCTCATTGTTGGTGATGTTAATGGTTTCAAATACTTCGCTACACTTTCCCCAACCAACTTTTTGAACCAGTTGGTAATCATTTTGATTAACCCAGCTCAGGACGTGAGCCTCATAGTCCCAGTACTAGTGGCTCCTCAGCTGTTCACCTTGGTGTAGACCAAGGCTCTGCTATCTGCAGCTGGGCTGGACAAGGCAGGCAAAACCAGGGGCACCGCTGGGAGCCAGAGGAGGAGGAGGAGGAGGAGGAGGAGTCAGGTGGTAGTGGCAGCTGAGGCCACTGGCTGGGCTGTTGTCATAAATGTTTATAGTTTTGATCCACTTCTTTTTCTTAAATAATGCCCTTTAACATTTCATGTAATAATGGCTTGGTGATGATTAATTCCTTTGGCTTTAATTTGTCTGGGAAACACTTTATCTGCCCTTCCATTCTAATTTTTTTTTTAAGATTTTATTTCCTTTTAGAGAAAGGTAGAAAGGGAGAGAAACAGCAATGTGTAAGAGATACATGGTTGTCTCTCACATGCCCCCAACTGAGGACCTGGTCCCACAACCCAGGCATGTGCCCTGACCAGGAATCCAACTGGTGAACTTTCGGTTCACAGGCCAGGACTCAATCCACTGAGCCACACCAGCCAGGACTGACCTTCCATTCTAAATGATAGGTTTGCTTGGATAGAGTAATCCTGGATGTAGGTCCTTGCCTTTCATGACTTTGAATACTTCCTTCCAGCCCCTTCTTGCCTGTAGAGTTTCTTTTGAGAAATCAGCTGACAGCCTTATGGGAACTCCTTTATAGGTAACTTTCTGCTTTTCTCTTGCTTCTTGTAAGATCCTCTCTTTGTCTTTAACCCTTGGCATTTTAATTATGATGTGTCTTGGAGTGGGCCTTTTTGCGTCCAACTTGATTGGGACTCTGTGCTTCCTGGTCTTGCATGTGTATTTCCTTCACCAAACTAGGGAAGTTTTCTTTCATTATTTTTTCAAACAGATTTCCAATTTCTTGCTTTTTCTCTTCTCCTTCTGGCAATGATGCAAATGTTGGACCTCTTGAAGTTGTCCCAGAGGTTGCTTATACTCCCTTCATTTTTTTGTTTTCGTTTCTTCTTTTTTTAATTAATTGTTTTTAACTTCCTTATGTTCCATATCATTGATTTGATTCACGGCTTCATCCATTCTACTGTTGTTTCCTGTAGATTGTTTTTTAACAATTCTACTGTTGTTTCCCTGTAGATTTCAATAAGTGAATCCTTTGTTTCTGACAGGATCTTTTTTATGCTGTTGAGGTCCTTACTAAGTTCCTTGAGCATCCTTATAACCAGTGTTTCAAACTCTGTATCTGATAGATTGCTTATTTCCATTTTGTTTAGCTCTTTTTTCTGGAGTTTTGAACTGTTCTTTCACTTGGACCATGTTTCTTTGTCTCCTTGTTTTGGCAGCCTTCCTGTGTTTGCTTCTATGTATTAGATAGAGCTGCTTTGACTCCGTGTTTTGGTAGAGTGGTCTAATGTAGTAGGTGTCCTGTAGGGTCCAGTGGCACAACCTCCCCTATCACTCAAGCTGGATATTCAAGGTACACTCTTTGTGTGGGCTGAGTCCACCCTCCTCTTGTAGCTGGGATTTACCCAAGCCAGTCTGTTGCAAGGATTGGCTAATGACCACCAATCTTGGTCCTCTGTGGAGAATCAGCTGTGCAAGGGCAAGGTGGTGGTTCTCTGATGTGGTCTGTAGTTGTCCATGGGTGTGCAAGCTCTGGGGTTTCCTGTGTGGTGCAGGCTAAGGTCAGCCCCCACCTATGTTTTGCCCAGGACCACCCTTCCTGAGCTCTAAAGCAATCTGAGAAGGTTGCTACTCATGCTAGGCTTGGAGTTTCCCAGGCAAAGCCAAGCTATGAAACTAATCTGGCCACTGTTAGTGCCCAATCTAGAGCTCACTGAGGCCAGCTGTGGCTTGTCTGATAGGATTTAGGAAGTTGTAAAGCAGGAGTCAAGATTACTTATTCAAGCCCTGGCTGGTGTAGCTCAGTGGATTAAGCATGGGCTTGTGAACCAAAACAGCGAGGTTCGATTCTCCATCAGGGCACATGCCTGGGTTGCAGGCCAGTTCCCAGCAGGAGATGCACCAGAAGCAACCATACATTGATATTTCTCCCCTTCCCTTCCCTTCCCTTCCCTTCCCTTCCCTTCCCAAGATAAACAAAAATTAAAAAAAGATTTATTCAAATGGAAAAGCAGCTTGGAAAAGCAGCTTGGGTGGGTCCACAAATTGGGTGGGATGGAATCTCCAGGCAGGTCAATGTTAGCCAGGTTGATGGTTGATGGAGTCTCAGATATGGCACCAGTTTGCTGTCTCTGTGGCTCTGTAGGGGGCACAGGGGCTCAGAAAAGGGACAATGGCCTCTTGTCACCCTGATGCCAGACACTTCAGCCTTTCTCAGTATGCCACTAGTGCCCTTCAAGCTGCCGCCCTGGTGCTGGAGGTCAGAGAGAGTACGTTCCTGAGTAGGTGAGTCCATGTGTGGGTTCTTTAAGAGGAACTGATTTGGGCTCAAGAAGTTTCTTCCACTGACTCAATTCTCACTGGTTTTTGAAACCAGAAGCTGCGGGGACTTATCTTACTGGCACTGTGGGGACTTATCTTACTGGCACTGGAACCCTGGGCTTATGGCCTGATGTGGGGTTAGGACCCTTGCTCATGAGATATCCCTCCTGAATTTTTATCCACCACACATGGGTGAGAGACCAGCCTGTTCCACAACTGCACCCCTCCTACTAATCTCAATGGATATGGTTTCTTTGATTCCATAGTTGTCAGACTTCCATTCAACTCAATTTCTGATGGTTATAAGTGATGGTTGTTCTATATTTTAGTTGTGATTTTGATGTGGTTGTGCAAAGAGGCAAGCCATGTCTGCCTATGCCACTATCTTGACTGGAAGCCCAACCACTGTTAATATAATGAAAATGGTTTATGAGACACTGATGTCAACTGGCAGCCAAAGAGAGTGCACTGGAATGTGCATTCATTAACAATGACAACTTCACTGTACTAGTTAGTGGAGGCAGTAGACACTGTTGTGTCAATGTGTGTACTGTGTGGTCATTACATTCAAGATGACTGGTAGAGAAACGAATTTGCATCAAATTTTGTGTTAAGCTTGAAGATTCCTCTGCAGAAACTGTTCAGGTGGTTCAGAAGGCTGCAACTATAGGCAACTGGTGATTGGCAGCTTCATTACAACAACATGCCTGCTCATGTATCATGTCTCATGCAGAGTTTTTTGGTGAAACATCAAATCACCCAGGTGACTCATTTGCCCTAAAGTCCAGATTTGGTGCCCTGTGACTTCTGGCTTTTCCCAAAATTAAAATCACCTTTGAAAGGGAAGAGATATCAGGCCATCATTGAGATTCAAGAAAACATGACGGGGCAGCTGATAGCAAATGGGAGAACTGTGTAAGGTCCCAGGTGCCTACTTTGAAAGCATCTAAGGTGTTATTCTCCTATGTACAGTGTTTCTGGTATCTTTTAGCTTCTTTAATAAATGTCTCTATTTTCCATATTCCATAGCTGGATACCCTCTGGATAGACCTTGTACACTTAATACTTAAAAATATGCTTGATCTTTTATCCCACACAGGAATTAAGAGCGATGAATATGAGATGTCTAGATCTAGTGCAACAAAGATGTCTATAGAATCAAACATAACTTGGAGGGTTTTATGGTCATCACATCTAATCACATCATTTTTGTTATTATAATACTACCAGATTATATCAAATGTCACAAAAATTTTAATGATAATGGCCATTTAACAGAGAAGTCAATATACTGATTTTTTAAAGAATTTCCTCTTAGCAAGCAATATCTACATCAAGGATTTTTAAGTATTATTAACTATTCCACCATTGTTTAATAATCCTACTGATCACCAACAAGCACAATCAGGGGCTTATAATGAGAGGCTTATCATTTTTATAAAATGTGATCAAATTAAACTTAATAACATATGAGCCACAGAGAAGACCTCTGGGACCAACACTTAGAAAACCAATAGTCTAGTAAATATTTTGGCAAAAAACTCAGGAAAAATAGAGATATTTCTTTACCTTACCTTTTCCGCCACTCTATTAAAATGACAGGATAAATTACAAGGAACAATTACATGATAAGCACTTAGGTTCTAATCTTGGTTTCCTCTCTACCTCAGAAAAGTAATTTTTAACTCTTCTATGTTTCAGTTATCACCTCAGCAATATGGCAATGTCTGCCCTTGTTACTCACAAGGAGATAATACAAAAGTTAATGACTGAGAAAGAAAATATAGTATGAAACCTGTAACTTAAGTTTTATGTTTCAATTTGAATATTCAAAAGAACATATAAATACTTGTCCTCCACCAGTATTAAGATTTACAAAGATTAATTCTGTAATCTGTGCAGCAACCCAAACTATTTTGAAATATTGCACTATCTATAAATATAAGTGATACTTTTACATACTGTAAACATTTAAACAGATACTTATTTTTGATCAATAACTGTCAACATTAAACTTGAGAGAAAAAAACTAAAGGATTTAATCTTGCCAGTTAGTATATCACTTTCATGAAATTTCATATGATAAAACCTCAACCCACACCATCTGTGAACTCTTAGTTACTAGTTTATCTTATCAGTCTTGACACATATACACAACCCACATAATACCTTTCAAGTGTGATTAGTTTTTTTCCCTCGAAATGCTGGTTTAGTAAATAAGTTAAAGGTCACAATTTTACTTATTTGTCTTAATCAGGTCTAAATGATAATGAGAAAACTTGCTAAATGAAATTGATGAAAAAATCTTGTTTTCTGATTTGAATAACATTAAGAATTATTAAATTTCTACTAAATTTTCATGGTTCTAAATCTAATTGTTCCATAGATGCTTGTTTAGAGCTAACTTCTATTAGGCACTGGAAACACAAAGATGAATGTTAATGACAACATTATCATGAAAGAATTATCATGGAGTATCTTACTAGATTTCTTTAAAACTTGATCATTACTGAATTACTCAAGGGAAGTTTTATAATCCCATTTTCTCTCAAACTGTCTAAAATAGATAAAATATCTAAAACTATCAGATGCCATCCCATGCTTCTCACTTCATTGCTACTTGTTAATTATGCCTCTAAGGAATAATTATTCCTCCAAGGAAGCATTAAGGAATTTTTGTCCCTTTCTTAAATTACACTTGTTTTCTTTCTTCCTTTTTCTTTCTCTTGCCTTTTTTCCCTTCCTTCCTTCTCAGCCCTTTATATAATCTTTGTAGCATTTCATTCTTCCTTTGTAAAAGAAATATCTAATTCATTTAAATTGCTAATATTTTACAGAGAGTCAGCCTACACAGTGTTCCCATTTATTAATAAAACATGTACTGCATTTGAAGGTATAACATATTAGTTTTAAAAATGTTTTACAAAAATTTTATTATTATATGCTATTCTTTAGGTTTATTAATATATTTATGGAATCCTTTTTCTCAACTTCCCCCTATTTCATTGTTAAAATTTTTGAGTGCCCTGTAACCTCTACCTGTGCTTTCTTAATATGTTTCCCTCCTATACTCTGTAATATTTGTCTTCTCTATTGTACAGAAACTCCTCTAACAATACTAGTGAGCTCCTCTGATTCAAATTCAAAGATTGTTTGTCAATTCTATTTCCTTTCAATTACACATATTCCTGTCAAATCTTAGTTCTTAACACTTTCTATTATGGACTTCCAAGATACTATGAATTCTCGGTTTACTCACTATTTTTCTGACCATTTGGCTTTGTAACTAACCTATTTGGCAGGGGGGTCTCCTAATATTCAGTCTTTATTCAACAACTTTTCCTCTGTCTCCATGTGTTCTCTTAGGGGATTGTATCCAATCATAGATTCTCAATTACCAAGTGCATGTAAACAATTCCCAAATAATCATTTTAATCTTAGCTCTTTATTTATTTTTTAACCCTCATCTGAGGATGTTTTCAATGATTTCAGAGAGAGAGAGAAACATGGAACAGTTGCCTCTCACATGCGCCTGACCAGGGGTTGAATCCAAAACCAAGGTTTGTGCCCTATCTGGGGACCAAACCTGCAACCTTTTGGTATATGGGATGACGTTCCAACCAGCTGAGCCACCCAGCCAGGGCTCCTCTTTATTCTTTTAAAAATTATCTTCAGTTGTCTACCAATACCTCATCCAAAAGTCTTCATAATTAACTCCTATTTCCAGTGTAAACTAGTATTTTTTGCCTAAGTTCCTGGTTGCCACCCTCACTGTTTTTCAAATCTATGAATATTTCTCAATTCTTTAAACTTTCTTCCAATTGTTCATCAAAACCAACAGGTTCCTTCTCTACATTTTTTCTCACATGTACATCTTCTTCCTCATTTCCACATCCAAGATTATAAGGTATCTAATGCAACTCTTCTTTTTCCTTTACTTTTATCATTCATTGTGATTAAATATATATAAAATGTAAAATTTACCATTTTAACCATCTTCAAGTGTACAGTTCGATGGCACTAAGAATATTCATGATATTATGTAAGTATCACCACCATTAATTTCCAGAATATTTTTCATCTTTCCAAACTGGAACTCTGTATTATTAAATAATAACACCCTATTTTCCTTCTTAAAACTCCTTCTAGTTCTATTACAACTCATCTAAGATTTAATTGCCTTTCCCTTTTCAAACAATGAATACTGTTCTTTATTATTTATCAAACCCCAAACAATATTCTTTGAATGTAGTAGTTTAAAAATATTGTTGATGTCAGTGTACTAATGCTATAACTATAAGAAACATTTTAGTCAGACATAATTCTCTAAAAAACAACAATCTGTATTAGAATAATTAAAAAACATCTACCACCTAAATTCTAATAATATAAATAAAAAGTTTCAAAATTCCAATACTGAGATTCTACTACAGTTCCTGCTATTTGCAGAAAAACACCTCAATTGAGTACTCTGTATTGAAAAATGTACCTCTAAGTAAGACCTATAATTAATCTAAATAATTATATTTCATTGTATTTTAGAATTATAAACTAGTGTTTGCTTACTGTCTTAAAAGCAAAAAATTCAACCCCACTACTAATTTCTCTATTGTACAGAAACTCTTACTGTATAAAAACTATTGTTTTTATTAAATAATTCCATTTCATAGATTTGTCCAATGTTGGTTCAATTGACAGTTTTTCTCTTTTTGATGTTTTTAATAGTGTTTTTTCTATAAAATAGAGACCATAAATATCAAATCATTTTGTGTACCATCTAGAAAAATGCAATGCACATATTGGTAACATTTCTATATGACAATTATGATAGTGATGTAAAAAGTCCTAACAAAAGGAGAAAAATTATAAACTCATTTGGTTGTTTCAAGCAAGTCTCAAAAAAGCATTTATGTCAAATGAATGTTCTTTCATTGAAAGGAAGGGAGAAAGGCAGAAAAGCAACAAGAAAGAAGGGAGGAAAAGAAGGAAGGAAAGAAGAGAGGGAGGGAGAGAGAAAAGAGAAAGAAAGAGGGAGGGAAGGAAGGAGGGAGGGAGGGAGGGAGGGAGGGAGAGAGGGAGGGAGGGAGGGAGGGAGGGAGGGAGGGAGGGAGGAAAAGAGAAGAGAAAAGAAAAGGAAGTTATTCATTGGAACACTCATTGCTTCTAATTCCTTATTGGGTCAATTCAGTACACAATGTAAGTGTAGGTTTTCAAATGCTCAGAGGAAAACAGTGCATAAGGAAAACGATGACTGCTAAAGCAATCAGAGACCAAACTAAACACAATTAGATAAGTTATTATAAGCAATTAATGAAATTGCACTCAGATGCAAACATGGAGTCCTTTTTAAAAGTTTTTCTTCTGGCTAATCATGTTTCTGAACACTAGATGGCAATAAACTAAAAGTTTAAATGAAAGTAAAAACACAGAAGTTGACAATATAGATAGAAAAAGAAGATACAACTACTTCACTTCAAATTCATATATCAACTTTTGATAGCATATCTCTTACCCGGGAAGAGGTCTGTGCATCTCATAAATATCTCCCAATAGATTAGTCCAAGAGCATACATGTCTACTTGTTTCAAAGCTGATTCACAGTCCCTCAGGTTCACAGCTCCTTCTAGAACTTCTGGTGCCATATATCTGATTGTGCCAACCTGATTTTTAGAGCAATATTTTTTAGAAACAGAATGAAAGGCATATGTTAGACAGAAGCTATACATAAATTTCATACCAACAATGTCAATGATAAGTTACTTGACCCTACTCATGTAGGGTCAACTGTCACTGAAAGTATTCTATACCTGATTTTTCAATCTATAAAATGTCCTTCTTGAATAAACTGTGATAAGTATCCTACTGAACAGAATCAGTCAAAAAGAATGATCTAGATCTTCCTATGCATATCGATATTAAAAAACCTGTAAGACAGTGTGAGAAAACTACAAAACAATGTGTACACTATTTAATATTTTAAAAAATTTCACAAAATACGAAATGTAATATATGTATAGATGTTGGTATGTGAACTCAGAAAAAGGTCAGGAAAGAAATGTTCTATGTTATAGTAGTAATAGAAAGCAACTGTCCTATTTCACCTTGATAATTTTAACCCCTGCTTCAAAAATCAGTTCCTACAAAAAAATTCCTTCTAATGCTTATAAAAAATGAGGTGGAATGCCAGTGGACTTCCATAATGAATTGATGAACTTTATGCAGTGTTGTTTTAATTTTGTAATTCTTAATATGCTACGACTGGCATATTAAGCTACATACCAACTACGACTGGTAGTATCTAGAATAATTATCCTGAGTAATTAGTGAATTCTTAAATGCAATTTATTATGTTTTCAAAGAATGACCAAAGTGTGATACCTTTTGTATAAACTCACCTCACTTATGGCTGCATTATCTTCTTCCCCTGGGCGCACCAGTCTATTTCCAGTCAGCCTCATGGACAACCCAAAGTCACTGATAACACAGGTTCCATCATTTTTCACCAGAACATTTCTGCTGTTTAAATCTCGATGGGAAATTGCAGGTTTATAATGATCTGTTTGGATAATTTCAAATGTTTATTAATGTTTAAAGACCACTATTGGATATGAAGTGAGCCACCCAAATAATAGAGACTACCATATAAATATAAAAGATACTGTTAATTTTCTACCTATTTTTTAACATTCATCCAGAAAATTTTTTAATATTTTATTTATTTATATTTTAGAGAGAGGGGAAGGGGAGGAGAAAGAGTGGGAGAGAAACATAAATGTGCGGTTGCCTTTCATGTGTCCCTACTGGGGACCTGGCCTGCAACCCAGGCACGTGCCCTGACTAGGAATCGAACCAGTGACCCTTTGCTTCACAGGCCCGTGCTCAATTCAGTGAGCTATATCAGCCAGGGCTAATTTTCTACCTATTATTTTTCTAATAAAAAAGGACATAAGAAATCAATATTTCAATTCATAATATCACTACTTTTACTATATTATATTTTATAACATAACTCCTGTTGTATGTCTAATTAATTAAGCTCTAAACTTCAGCTGCAACATGCTGTAGCTTCTAATTTTAGCACACGCTTGTTATTTTCTCTTCATTTTATGGTAGCAAAAGAAGGCAACAGAGAAAGGGATATTTGGTATAAACAACAACAAAAGTCAACGTACCTGAAACAGTGTTGATAAAAAAAAAAACTGACAGGCCTCCAAAATTTGTGTATATCCGTTACACTTTTCTCCTATGATTTAACAGATCAAACCTGTGACAGAACATCCCAGTTCTGCCCTGACGTGCAGCCATGTCCTTAAGCCCACCTCAGCTCTTCAAATCAAACTAGAAATAGTTTTACAACAGACTGGGAAAACAAGTGATGGAGCTGCTATTTCTCATCCAGATATGAAAACCTGTTTTCTGATTTTACAGAGAAGCAAAGCACTATTATACTTATTCTATTACTTGTTTATCACTAGACTGTATGTTCCACGAAGGCAGAAAAAACGTATTTTTCCTAAATTCAAAAGGGTCAACACAGACAAAATGCTTGCTGATTAAAAGAATGTATCTAACCTAAAAAACACCTTCTCATAAAGAACACCACATAATTTTCTCCCCTCTGTAAGGAAACTTGATATAAATCTTACATTAGGGCCATAGCTTTTAAAATGAAAAAAAAATTATATAGCATAATTTCTAAATTTTAAAATAACTCACTAGTTATACAAAGAAATAAAGCAATCCAAACAAAGTTAATGATGTTTGAGTGTTTATATTGAAGCACAGATAGACTCAGTATTTATATTATTCTCATTAACAATTATGAGACTGCAATTTCACCAACAATGAAACTGAAAAGAGGATAATGATTCCTTTCATATAAAAAAAAGCAACAGCACAATTGGAAGAAAAAAACAGTTACCAAGTTTCTTTATCTAAGAGTTGATTTCCTTTTTTAAAAATGATTTTATTTATTTATTTTTAGAGAGAGGGGAATGGAGGGAGAAAGAGAGGGAGAGAAACATCAGCGTGTGGTCACCTCCTCACCCACCACCCACCCCACCCACCAGGGACCTGGCCTGCAATCCAGGCACATGCCCTAACCAGGAATCAAACTGGCAATCCCCCTGGCTTCCAGGCCTGCGCTCAATCCACTGAGCTACACCAACCAGGTAAAGAGCTGATTTCTTTTGCATTTTCTCCCCTTCCCATTTCCTAGACCCACCTTCCAAAGCTTGTATTAACATGGCTCAACTCAACCCCTAAATAAACAGCTGCTTTTCTTACTCTGGATAAAACAGTAACATAAGTATATGTGGCATAATCTCAAGCTTATATTTGTATATGAAAATTTATGAAGACATTGTAAAATGTGTGTATAATAATAATACAAAATCAATACTTAAACTAAAATATTTTACACATAAGGAAGCCAGGTTAATAATGGGAAGAATATGCAGTGGTTCAGTGAGACAGCCAGAGGGGAAGACTGGGTAGTACATTCTGCCAAAAAAAAAGGAAAGCGAAAGGAGACAGAGAAAAATGAAGAAACAGGGAAAAGAGGAGAAGAGAAAATACGAGACAAGAGAGAATTTATCACCAATGCAAAGGATAAAACTATAGACTGTCCTTTTCAGACTTTTTTCCTTTAAAGATCTCCTCAGTATTCCTTTTAATCTTTTTTGTTGGAGGTGGGATGTTACATAGAAAGGAGCAGAATATACAATGATTTTGCCCTGGGCAGTAGCTCTGCACCAAATATCGTAAAGGAAAGTTAGGACATAATATTAATTATGATTTTTAAAAATCTGAATGAAAAAAGTTTCTGTGGACATTCATACACAGAGAGAGAGAGAGAGAATGAGCATGCAAAGGACATGGAAAGATAAACATAAACTAGTTAACAGTAATTTTCTGGTTAGGTTTGAGTGATCTGTACATGATCTTTCTTACATTTTTTGTGGTAATAAGTTACATTTTATATTATCACTAGGAAAATATTCATAGGGAGAACCAATTACAAATAAATAGGTTCAATTCCATCTTATTCTGGAACAGATGAATAAATAATAATAGCATTACTCCTTATTACAAAATTTCTATTCTAAATGGCAGTATTGTATCTGAAGATATTGGGATGAACAGAGTTCTCTGAAAAAAAGTGAAATGACCTTTTAAATGTTTTTGAAATATTCAGACTATATTTAAAATAGTAAAACTGTAAGTTCAAATAGCTACTAAACATATTTTTACAATAGCATGTATATGTGTATACTCATTTTTTAAAAAAGGTAAACTAGTAAAAATATTAAGTAATGTTTAAGAGTAAGATCTGCATTTAAATAAAACTCTTATTTGATGGCAATCATTTTTTCAGCCAATGTTTTCAACTTGAAACCTTGCTGCATTAGGCAAGCCTTGACAAGGGGGATTAGAATGGTATTTTAAGTTCTGTGCTAAGCCAGCTCTTTAAAGGAGCTATAGTAATATTTAAGAGTAAGGAAACATAGTCCAAATGGTTAATGTGCTAAAGCACTAAAGTGAGTGAGTGCATCAAGTTGCTGACATAGGTAATAACTATGATCAGTTCTGTATTCAGGAAGAGCAAGATGTGAAGATAAAAATGAACTGATAAATCATTCAGGAGAAATTATTTATATATGAAGCAGAAGCTAGAAAAGATGATCCATGCTATTATACAATGAAACAAAGATCTAAGAAATTGAAACATTAAGGATCCTCTTCACTACTGAGGTCAGAGAAACTGAAAAAACAATGTTCCGGGCTATAGCATGACAGGAAAATGCTTAAAGCATAAAAGTTTAAGAAAACACAAAGGTAGATTTTTACAGCATAGCTAATTTAGAGGTTCCTGTGATATGAGGTGTATCTTGAAACAAAGTGAGAAAGCAAATGTATTAAGGAGATGCTTTGAACTAGGAAAAATATATATAAAAGCTGAAGAAAACCACAGTTCTGATAAGGAACATAACCCTATAGTTCTGAAACACTGGCAAAGACTGATTCCTCACCACGCATTCTTCTTTTCCTGGTTAGTAACAGAACACAGTATTGTCTGAGCAATGAACTCAGCTAAAATAAAACAAAACTATATTCTCAGCATCTCTTGTAGCTAACTGTAGTAACTAAGCATAGACTAAGTTCTGGGAAACAAAATATAAACATAAGAGTGAAACTTCTGGAGGCAGAAGAGGGCAATTCCTTCTTCCTTTCCTTCCTTTTCCCTGCTTACCAGAATAGAGTATAATGAACAATGAGGTGACCTTAAAAATACAAGCCATATATAAATAATGGAGGAGAAATACAGGAGCCTGGTGCTGCCAAATTTTAGACTGTCTCTCTCTAGATTCTTACATGAGAACAAAAATTATTCTTATTGAAGCCTGCTATTTTCTCCTTGATAGACTTGACCAAACCAGGCTCTGCAAAGCACTGACTTATAAAAAGATATATTTATGTTTTATACTAAAGTCCAACCAACCTTTGGAATAAAGATCTATCTGAAGTTAAAACTAAAGAAGTAATAATGTACTGTAGTTCATTTAAATAAGCAAAATAAACACAAGGAAAATATAATACAGCCTAGTTAAGAGGTTCTTAACCAAGACTGACAGATGAACTTCTGAGAGTCTTAAAACCCTCTAGAATCAAAAGAACATACTTAAAAGAATTGCCTATACATATATCTTTTCATGGAGAGTGTTCAGAGCTTTAATTAAATTCTCAATGGGCCATGGCTGGTGTAGCTCAGTGGACTGAGCATGGGCCTGTGAAGCAAAGGGTTGCTGGTTCAATTCCCAGTCAGGGCACATGCCTGGGTTGCAGGCCAGGTCCCCAATAGAGGACACATGAGAAGCAACCACACATTCATGTTTCTCTCCCACTCTTTCTCCTTCCCTTCCCCTTTCTCTAAAAATAAATTTTAAAAAAATTTTAAATTCTCAATGGCATCTATAACTCCTCTGGAGTCTTTAGTTATTTTTCTTATTCTTCCTATTAGATTTAAAATATATTTCTCATATCAAATCTTTTAAATAGCTGGCCAATAATAAAGTTGCTATACATAATATATGCTTTTACTTTGATGATATGAATAAAATTTCTCTTTGAAAATCCTATTCTACATGAGTGTCATTCATTTCCTCTTCACTGTCTTACCTCCTCGAGGTAATTCTGTATGAAGATAAGCCAGTCCTCTAGTCACAGAATGAGCCAGACGGCAAGAGCTTACCCAGTCACTTGTATGGAGACTAAGATACTTGCATAGAGATCCCTGTGTGGAGGAAAAAAATACAACAACAAAAAAGTGGAGTTAATATACTTGAACATAAGAAGGTAAGTTAGCTTTATAAAGGATTTGCATATGTTAGGATTCCACTAAGATCTAATAAATTATGACATTTCAGAATCTTGAAGGGGTTAATAAGACATTTCTGTGGGTAGAGTGAAGGAAAAAATGAAAAAAATTAAGTGTAAAATTTTTATTTTTTCAACATTGAAAATTATGGTTATTTCATTTTGAATGCTTTTTAAATTTCAAATTAACAGAGAAAATAAAAGAGTCATTTAGGTTCTTTCTTTACACTGTATCCTTCCCAGTACAAATACAAATTATATTGTTATTATGTTTTACAAGCACAAAACAGGAGACTTTTGTAAGTATGTATGTCAGTGCTAATCAAGGTGTTCCTCCACAGACTATTTATTACCAACCATTTTGGGATAAGGAGCTTGCACCAGAATGAATGTCAGTCAAAGCACTGCTTTATTCATCAAGAAAGTCTTTTGGGGGGCATCAGATGGGAGGGTATTAAAAAGTTAACTAGTGACTTAGTTAATTCACACTCTGGTATGAGATCCTTATCTCACTGTAGACCCTTAGTAATAACCAGTGTGCAAACAGGCAATGCTTTACTAAATAACTGACTGTTCATATAAATGCCAGTTGATATTTATTAAGAACTTACATTGGGATAATACTCCATCACAAGCAAATACTCCATGCGTCCATCTGCAGTCACTCTCTCATCTCCAACTATAAAGCGAGCAATGCTATCATGTTCCATCAAAGGCACTCTGTAAATGTTCTTCTCATTGATAAAATTCTGACGGTTTGCAAAGGAAAACACTTTTACAGCAACAGGACGCTCATCTAAGGAACCTTTATATACTGCTCCATATCGACCCCGGCCAATCAGCTGTAAAATTTGTTTTGAAGAAAGCAAGGTATTAATTCAAATCACAATGGAACAACCAAATTTACTAAATACACTGCAAGTCTATATGTGTGCCATAGTTCTCTACTGCTTAAAGGTTGAATTACTCCATCATCAAGGAGCTAATAAATATATGGAACTTTTCAAATATATGGCTCAAGAAGCTCCTACTAGACCCAGCCCTCCCAAACACAGCAATGATAAACTCTAAAAAAAACTCTAAAAGAAACTAAAAGTGCTGGAGAATGAACAAAAGGAAATAAACTATGAGAGGAGTCAAGACTGAAAAGAAGGGAACAACATATGAGTATTTACCCAATTTTATAGCTTTTAGCCTGAAGACAGGCTGAAATCAGCTCTGTACAGTACAGCTAAAAATGCAATAGGAAATCCACAATCTCTCTGGCCTCAGGAACAAGAGGACAGATTTTGGAGTAACCACAGCTACAGGAAAGTAAGGAGAGAATTCCAGAAAGAAGAATCAAAGAGAGGGAAACTGAGTGAATGCACAAGACAAACTCCAGCCAGAGACAAAATAACTGAACTGAGATTTGAGCTTCCGCCTGAGACGAGTTTGCAGTACGTCTAACCAAGATAACTGCCTACTAAAACAAACATTGAAAGTGAACACACTTCAGAAGAATCTAAAGAACACAGGGTCTGCACAATATAACATTCACAATGTCCAGGATATAATTAAAAGTTACTTAATAAACAAAGTACCAGCAAAATGCAATCTGTTAATTTTTGGCTGCTGGAGCTTTCTTCTACTTTTTACTGACCTAGGTTAGGGATTTACCATAACCTATTTAAGAATATTTGTTATATTTCACTCACTGTGTCTAGGTTAAAATTTAACAGATAGATTGTCCTTTAGAAAGGCTGTATGGTTTACAACCTTTTAACCATTCAACATATGGTCAAATCAGCAATGTTTGAGAGTTTCTTTTACTTAGTCCAGGATAAAATCCAATGGTTTTAGTAAATATATTTTTAATTTACTAAATTGGATATCTAATTGTAATACATATTTTAGCCACATTTCTATTGTGAATTGACAGTTCATCTTTTTTGTCCATTTTTATTAATTATTTCTTTCACACGGATTTATATTAGCTCTGTATAAATTCTATGTTTTCTGTGAATTTAGTTTTTAACTTGTTATGTTTTTCTCTCATAAGGAAGGTTCTTAAAATGTTTTATATTATCATATCTACCACATCTATTATTTAAACAGTCTCTGTAGTTTCAGGACCATAGTTATCTATTATTTAACAGTCTCTGGTTTAGTGATCATAGTTTATACTAATAAAGAATAAAACATCATAATAAAACTTTTAATATAGACTCTGAGAAATTACCAAATGAAAATTAAACTCTATGGAATATATAATAGTACTATGTGTCTATAAAAATATAAACTATATGCACAGACAAGTAATATTTTTTTTGTCTCTACTATGGATTCCTTACCTGGCACGTTCTTCTCAGAATTTCACAACTTTATTCCCATACTTGAAAGTTCAAATCTGTACTGAAAAGGTCACTTCCTTTTCTTTTAAAAATAACCCCCTTTCCATAGCTTTCTTATCTTATCTGTCTTATTTTTCTCCATAGCACTTACTACTACTTGATATAATATACATTTGTTTTCCTGTTTGTAGATTCTCTCCCACTAGAATAGAAGCCTCAAGAGGGATATCTGTATAGTTCAGGTACATTCTCACTGCCTAGAATAGGACTTGGCACTAAACTGGTACTCAATAAATGCTTCTTGAATAAATAAACAAATGATTTAGTGAGTGAATGAAGTCACTGTCTCAAATATGGGAGCAGAAAGAACAGTTCATAATCTAAGAACAAGCTTACCTCCAAAAGTTTCAGATTATCTAGGTCAAGAGAGGGCTCTGATGCTGCTGCCTCCATCATGTTCATACTGTGAAGACCTTGTTTGCGGTCTCCTATAGGAATAGGCAAAAGAAGTTACTGTGTGCTTCTCTTAAAATGAAGATTTTATTATACTTTTTTATTATATTACTATTAAAAAGAAAAGCTACAGAATGGTAGGCAGCAAGACTAATGCCTAATGTCAATGGGAGTAAAATTATTTACTAAACTAGGAATTATCTATAAATAAAGATGAATGATGACTAAGATGAAAGCTGAATTCTGGGAGATGATACCAGAAACAAACTTAGTTTAAAACCTTACAAAATACTACCAAGACATTAAAAATAGTTTCATAAAAGTTATTCAAAGTTAATGCATAAATGATAATTTCCTAAAAACCTCATCAAACCTAAAGTTTATTAGAACCAACTGAACATTTGATCATACTGAGAAAATAATAAAAAATTATTGCTTTTAAGATATAAAAATGATATTGGGATTATATATATATTAAGTCCTTCTATTTCAGCAATAATACTAAAGTACTTATAAATAAATGGTATTGTGATTTCTTTAAAATAATCAAGTGGCTGATTGTGGAACAGAAAGAAGGTATTAGTGGGAAAACGGGGGAAACCCAAATAAAGCCTGGAGTTTAATTAATAGTGATGTACCAATGTTGGTTTCTTAGTTTTGCTAAATGTACCAAGGTTATATAGGATGTTAATAAATGGGGAAAGCTGTGTGATGGTATATGTACTACCTTTAGAACTTTTCTGTATATTAAACATTATTCTGAAGTAAAATATTTTGAAAAGGCAAATAAAATTAAATTAAATTAAAAAGTGGCAGAGACAAGTGCACTGAGGGGAGCTATAGATGATATATAGATGTAATCACTGAAGCTGGGTGAGAGGTATTTTGTATATGTTTGAAAATTTATAAACACTGAAGGAAAAATGTTAAAAGAGAAAGATGGGAGCTACTTTAGCATGGAAGTTTTTTAGCATGGAGATTTTAAAAAGGAGAAAATAAATTTCAATTAAATAGCATATTTAATAAACAACAGAATAAAAGGTGACATTTTTACCTGTCAGCATTCTGTATCCAAAGTATAAGGCAACTATCAAAACAGCTAATACAGAGACTGATGCTAAAGCAATGATTATTGTCTCATCTCGGTTAAATGAATGAGGCGGACCTAAAAGCAAACAAATTTTAAAACAGTTATTGTTAAAGAAGATGTGGTACATATAAACAATAGAATATTTCTTGGTCATAAAAAAAGAATGAAATCTTACCATTTGTGATTACACGGGTGGACCTAGAGGTATTACGCTAAGGGAAATAAGTAAGACAGAGAAAGACAAATACCATATGATTTCACTTATATGTGGAATCTAAAAAACAGAATAAATGAACAAACAAAGCAGAAACAAACTCAAATACATAGAACAGCTAATGGGTGAAAAAGATGAAAGAAGAAAGAAATACAAATTGGCGGTTACAAAATAGTCAAAAGGATGTAAAGTACAGCATAAGAAATTTAGTTAATAGCCATGGTTGGTGTGGATCAGTGGATTGAGTGCCAGTTTGCAAACCAAAAGGTTGCTGGTTCAATTCCCAACTAGGACCCATGCCTGGGTTGTAGGCCAGGTTCCCAATGTGTGGGAAACCACACATTGATGTTTTTCTCCCTCTCCCCTTCCCTTCCATTATCTCTAAAAATAAATAAATCTTTAAAATAAAAAAATTTTAAATATGAAAGGCTGTATCAATATACAGTCAAATCAGTAATGTTTTTACATCAAAGAAAATTTAAAAATATTTTTTAAATATTTTATTTATTTTTTAGAGAGGGGAAGGAGGGAGAAAGAATAGGAAACATCAGTGTGTGGATGCCTCTTGTGTGCCCCCTACTGGGGACCGGGACTGCAACCGAGGCATGTGCCCTAGTCTGGGAATCTAACCTGTGACCCTTTGATTTGCGGGCTGGCACTCAACCGCTGAGCCACACCAACCAGGGAAAAATTAATAAATTGTTAATAATGGAAAATTATATATTTTATCATATAGCTTATTTTATATAGACTGTAGATTTGGAACACTGAAACACCTGTTAGTTAGCCCTGGCTGGGTAGCTCAGTTGGTTAGAATGTTGTTCCAATATGCCAAGGTTACAAGTTTGATCTCCAGTCAGGACACATACAAGAAGCAACCAAAGAATGAATAAATAAGTGGAACAACTAATCAATGTTTTTTCCCTCTCTCTCTCTCCCGAAGGGAGAGATCACCCTTCTCTAGGAGGGAGATCTCTATCTAGATCTTTATTTAGATCTCTATCTAAAATCAATCAATTAAACAAAAAACCTGTTAGTTATGCTCTTAATTATTAAAATATTAATTATAATGGAATAGCATAGATGGAACAGTATATTAAGAAAACAGTCTTTGGAATCACATTTGGTTTTAAACCTTGACTATACATCAGAGGTATCAAACTCATTTTTACCAGGGGCCACATCAGCCTCACAGTTGCCTTCAAAGGGCTGAATATAATTTTAGGACTATATAAATGTATTTACTCCTTAGCTAGGGGCAAGGAGCTCTACATTCAGCCCTTTGAAGGCAACCACGAGGACCTTCAAAGGGCTGATGTGGACCTCAGTGAAAATGAGTTTGACACCACTGCTCTACATCATTCTCTCAGTGGTTTTTAGCAAGATGCTGATAAACATGTTTTTGTCTATTTACTGAGTAGTTCAAATCTTCTTTTAATTGAATTTTTGACTGCTTATCAATTACTAGAAAGTGGTGTTAAAATCTTCTATTATGATTAACAATTTGTCTCTTCTTTTAGTTATATCAATTTTTGGTTCATATGTTTTAAGGCCATATTATTAGCTGTATAGAAATTTTAAATTGTTCTACCTTCCTATTGAACTGAACATTTGTTACTATGACGTGACCTTTGTTGTCTAAAATAGGCCCATAATAAATCAAATACACTTGACTATATCTTAGGAGAATCATCAACATAGGATTATCAAATGATTTCTTTAGAGAGAACTAGAGAATAAAAGGTGGGAGAAGGGACAAAACCATTTAGATGTTCTTAAGTACAGTTGAACTGTTTTTGCATAGTTGTGGGCTACTGAAAAACCACTGAGGCAGATAAATCAGCCTGATATGAAACCAAAAGGTCTCAACATCTGGGATGTTGTTTGTGAGAAGAAACTTGGGGCTGATCATGAAGTCAACAAGGATCCTGCAAACAATAGATTCTATAAGGAATGAAAGCAGTTGTGAATCAAAGAATGTTCCTCACATGTGTATGTCTATTCAAACAGCAGTCTTTTAAGCTTTTCTCTATGTAGATGGTTTTGTTAATGACATCTGCAGAGTACAAAGCAATGCTAGCATCAGAAATATATAATCTGGTAATTTTCTTCTGCAAAAGATCCCTACTTTATTCAGCAAAATTAACATATATGGCACTACCTTTAAAATAAATAATGATATCAAACTCTTTGTGGATGCATCCATTAAAAAAACAAAAAAAAAACCAACAAAACACAAGGGCCAGCAATCTAAATAAAAAACCAGTTATTCTGCAGTGAAATTCAACAGTCTTTTGCAGTAGACATGCTCTTCTACTACCAAGAGGAAACTTAAAATAGTTGAGATGAGAAGAGCTATTTTCAGTCTTAAAAATGGTAGTTAGACCCCGCTGGTGCGGCTCAGTGAATTGAGTGCTGGTATGAGAACCAAAGGGTCACCAGCTCAATTCCCAGTCAGGCACATGCCTGGGTTGCAGGCCAGGTTCCCAAGGGAGGCACGCAAAGAAGCAACCACACATTGATATTTCTCTCCCACTCTTTCTCCCTCCCTTCCCCTCTCTCTACACAAAGGCTATAGGGGGTAGGATTTAAACATGCTTCATAAAAACTTAAGTGCTGGTTTTGCTTGGAATAAAAGGCAAAACAGCCTTAAGTGATATGTTTTCCTTTGCATGTCAGATGTAGACAATCCATGAGAAAAAAACTACTGGGATATAAACGTGTGATACTCCGTTCTACATTTGACCTAATTGAAAACATCCTTAAGCAGAGAACTAGTGGCAGAGTCAAATACTGGGTACCTAAACCAATGATGAGGAGTTAGAACTTAAAAGCCTTGAATAATTTTTATAATGGAAGACAGGGAAGAGATCTCTGCCCTAGACCTGACTCACTGTTAGCTGTATAAGTAGAAACACGTGTGCCAGAAAAATTTCTTTGATGTGGACATACAGCAGCTAGAATAATTTCTGGAATATGTGGATTCAAAAATTGCAATAATTAATTTATGTACATGGAGTTTCTTTAACAAATGTACCTTATGTCCCACTGAATATTTTAGAGATATCTAAACAACACACTAAAAACTAAATGACTTATCTCCACCCATCCCAAAAAAAGAGGGCAATTTCCTTGTCTGTCAGTGCCACTGATAAATGATTTTATTTAAAAACATTTTCAGCCCTGGCTGGTGTAGCTCAGTGGACTGAGCACGAGCCTGCAAACCAAAAGATCGCAGTTCGATTCCCCATCAGGGCACATGCCTGGGTCGCAGGCCAGTTCCCAGCAGGGGATGCACCAGAAGCAACCATACATTGGTATTTCTCTCCTTCTCTCCTTCCCTTCCCTTCTAAAAATAAATAAATAAAAATTTAAAAAAAAAAGAAAAACATTTTCAGCAGAGCTCAAAATGTCAGAAAAGAGGCCAACAAGTATCTACAATAAAATGTTTCTATAAAAGTTTGAACCATTTTGTACAAAATACTCTTAAAAACAAAGTACACTTTTCTCCTGCTTTCATGAGTTAAGTATATTGGAGCAATTTCTTTTCTTTTTATCCTCATCTGAGGACATTTTTATTTTCATTGCTTCTAGAGACACAGAGGGAGGGAGAGAGGGGGAAAGAGGAATATTGACATGAGAGAGACACATACACTCGTTGCCTCCCATGCACACCCAGACCAGAGCAGGGATTGTACGTGACAGGGCCAGGGATAGAACTCTCGACCTAGGTATGTGCCCTGATTAGGAATGAACCTGCAACCTTTAAGTTATGGGACAAAGCTCCAACCAACTGAGCCACACCAGCCAGAGCTAAAGCAATTTTTCTTCTACATGATTGGGGACATAATTTTGAATATCAATTAATTTATGGTGATATTCTCAAAGCCTAGTCAAGATTCTCAGATCATTATGTTTTTACAAATTACTGAAACTGATTTTCAATTTTTCCATCTCATCCTTTGATATGTGTGATATTGCCTTAATGTTTTTTATAATCTAATTTGGGCTTTAAAAATAGATGACCTAACCTGTTGTAAATGAATGTAAAAAATACAAACTACAAAGACTAAGGGACTTTTCTAAATAATTAAGAGTTTTAATACAAAAACTCTATAGCATCCATCTTGGCTGATTATAGTGAAGAAACTTCAATACCTACAGGCTTGGTACTGTGGCAGTCGATGAAATTAGACATTATCAGAGTCCACTTAAATTCTGATTCCCAAACATATCCTTTAGTTTTTGGTATAAGAAATTCCTCAGGATATCAAAACGTCTGCACTTCCACAATGCAGCTATTGGTGCTTTCCAAGGGCAAATGGGGAAGTGAGGATTGTCTACTTGGCCTTTTTTGAGGACACCAACATGTGTGCTATCCATGCCAAATGTGTAACAATTAAAAATGTTTCAATGAACAAGTTTCAGAGTTCAGCTTTATAACAACTATAAATAAATAAGCTTGTAAAATGTTTCTGGAGAATGTCAGAAATTGGTTTTAGAAAAGTAAATATCTTAATGACAATATACAGTAGATTCCATCCACTTACTATACTTTTCTGAATTTCCCTACATGCAAGAACATTTTTGTAATGTTTGTCTTCTGTGCTGTACCTATAACTTTGCTACTGAAATATATTAAACTGCTTTTAAAAAGTTGGTTATAGTAGGTGACTTTGAAGGTCCTTTTAATACCAAAATTCTCTGTGACTTTTCTAATGTTTCTTGAAGCCTCAGCATTCTCTTTTATTTTATTTGCAAATTTACAAAGAAAATGCAACATAACTTTTACATAAAAATATTCATTAACCCTAAATCTGCAATGGAAAACATTAATTCATATACAGGAAAGTCTTAAGTA